CTTTTGTTTTACCCATAATTATTAAATAATAGTAATACTTACTATTGCACCATTGACGATTTGGCTGTACGTAAAAAATTCTTAATGGTATCATAAATATTGTTTCGTCGTTTTTATACCACAACATGTTTTATTATTTCGCAAAAATAAATGTTTTTTTAATTCATTCTACAAACACAATTTTTATAATAATTATTGTCAACTATTGTTTGTCGATAGTTAAATAATTTATAACATATTTTTAAATATTCTTCGAACGTTCAAATTCTCATTTTTGGCAATTTAAAAAAAAAAAAAAGTAATAATAATTTATTCACACGGTATAAATGTTAAAATTTCAATTATTATTTTGCAATTTCGTTTACGTTGTAGTAGCTTATTTGTAGATAATGAACACGTTTTTTTCAAACAATAGATTCCTAAATATTAAATGCATAACACATACACAACTGTGTACTATGGCATTAGCTCATATCTGAATGATAATTTTATGTTTAACGGTAGACTTGAAACACATATTATTATGTGTTTATATTTTTATAATATGCAGTGTTCGACCCTATTTATCCCGATGCTATTATTTTTGATAATAATTAACATTTTTATTTTTTCAGTCTATTGTTTTGTTTATAATATTTGGAGACAAATAGGTTTTTAATTTTATCCTTTCATCAATAAAAACAGTATAAAAAAAAGCCACTTTTTAATAGATATACTTCTTAAAACAGAGCTGGGGCCACTGGGAACGGGTTTAGCCAAAATAAATTTTTAATACAATTTTCAATCATTTCTGTCTGGCTTACTAATTTATCTACAGAGTACCTACCCGATAAAACTACGTAATAAAAAACGTTTAGTAACGAATATTTTAAACTGGGTAACATTAAACAAACAAAATTTAAAATAATAAAAAAATTATTTTCTATAAATTTCCCTATTTGGCTATGTATATTATGGTTAATAAAATACGTTAGATATCAAACTATTTACTTCGACAGTAGTGAATTATTAATGGAAACAAAATCGATATACCTTTTCATTTCGATTGAAGTAATATTCCTCGTAGAAAACTTATGAATAACAATTAAAACAATAAAAACTGTAACGCCGCGTGGTCCTATAAATTTTTGAGTTTTTTCTAGAAATTTATTTTGGTTTTTAGGATAACCTCTTTAATGTACTATCCCAGTCAGAATCCCTATTAGATGAATTACTATCATTTTAAATCGTAGTAAATTTGTTGACAATTTTTTCATTGACAAAAATGTCCGTAAAATTTTACTTTTATATTTGTTCTCCTTACGGCATTTCTTTTGTGTTTTTTCGATTTTTCCTATTTGTTGAAAAAATATGTATGAGAAAATCAAAAAAATAATGTAAAACGCCAGTTTGATATTCTTGCTTGAAAAATATCTACTCTTGTAAATTGAAGCGTTATTTTTGATAGAAGCGTAAGAACTTTATAAGCTGCTTCGTTCATTTAGAATCTAAAAAAAGCAAGTTTTGCACGCCTTTTATTTTTAAGTTATCACGGATTAGCGACTTCTGATCAGTGAACTTTTCCTTTTAGATTATTCTATTGACTTTAAATGTACACTAAAAAAAATTCAACATTTTTGGTTTGAAACACACGTTTTTTCTTAAAATTCATACCAATAAGTAAAAAATAAACTCTAAAGAACTAATGAAATATAATAGTATCTTTTTTTAAGTTTTGTTTTTTCTAATGAAATAATCTTAAAATTGTTTATTTTTGAATATACGGGGCGTCATACAATGTTATCATTATCAATATAAAAATTAAAACAGAGAACATACGCAACAGTTAGGTATATTGGAACTATGGATTATCAGATACAGTGATCCGTCTTTAGTACTGCAACCAGAGCACAGATATGGATAGATATACCAAATATGGCAACCTTCCTTAGGTTCTGCAACCACCATATTTGGGGGATGGAATTTGAAAGGATTGTATAGTTGTGAGAAAGGGATGAGGATAAAGAAAAGGATGAGGATGAGGTATAAGTAGACGAAAATGACGCACATGGCGCGTAGGCCTTGTGTCTTCACCCTATTACCGCTACTGACCAGAGCGCTGCTTATCGAGTTGGTGTTACGGATAATTAATATGCAGGAGTTTAGTACACTCTAGTGTACTAAACTCAGTGGTCAGTGTAAGTATTTGTTGATTGTTTTGGGGGTTGGTAGTTGTATAGTGTCACGCTCGATCGTTTATTTCAAATACGAGATATTTTATATATTACTGTCTAAAAATTTGATTATAACATATTTTCATATCCGATCAATATTTCAATATTAGAAAAATGTGGTTAAATTTCCAAAAATTTTGTATGTTAACAAATATAATTCAATAAAAGATAAGGAATTATTATTGTGCTAGTTGTGATTTCTTATCGTGTAACGTATTATTCTATTGAAAATTAAATTTAACAAATCAATCATAACCAACACAATAATAATTCCTTATCTTTTATTGAATTAAAATTGTTTTCACGCCTTTTTCTAAAGCTACTATGAAACTATTAATCGGATATAAATATATTTTTCTATTTTGAAAATGATATACAGTAAGAAAACAGCATTATTTTTTTCAATGGTTAAAGAGATGAAGATAGAATTTTTTTTTTTCTTTTACATATGTGCCCCCTCTCACAATATCCAATTGAAAAAAAAAATGGATATCGACAGAATTATTGACATAAGGATAACTCTATAGGCTACTGTTGTATTTATGGTCAATCAGATTAAATGAGTGGGCTATGTACACGGACGTCTTTTGAACTTTTAAAGTAAAATATCTTATTGAAATGCTACAAAAATACATACGTTTTTAAAGATATGAAAATGCGTAAGACTACTAAGAAGGTCGTATTGGGAAAACAGGATATATTTTTATTCATTCACTCCTTTTTTTTATTGGTCGGCATATTCAGTAAATTCGGTTATTTTGCATCATTATGTCACCCCAACGCCACTTCGTGTAATCAACCCTTAATGCAGTTTTTAATTTGCATTAATCGATTTAAAGGCTAAAAAATCCCTATTTGTGATAATATTTGTAATAATATTACAATAATTAATATAACGACAATATATTGGTACCCACCTTATACCACGTAATGTATTTATATAACAATAAATTACAATTTTAAACAAACCATGCGGTAATTATATGGTACAGTGAGGTAATTATACCTTGATGACTAATGACGTTCATGGGACCGGTATAAAATATGTGTCATACAGTTTCGTTTTATTTTGTACATATGTATTCAGTATTATTTATTTATTCACATTTAATCTGTAAATATACATTCTATGAATATTGATTATTCTCAACGAGATGTCAGTTTTTAATAAACCTTTAAAAATGTACAATAGGTGTAGAATCACAAATCGTAGGTATCAATATACAAAATGTATCCAGTCATGTAGGTATTTTGACATATTTTCTGGTCGGTGGTGAATTTTCACAGTTATCCAAGTATAATAATTTTTTTTTTTAATCCATCCCATATTTGGATCGTTATAAGTTATTGTAAAATAGGTAATAGTAGGTATTGTTCCCGTGAACTATATTGCACATTATAATAAGCTTGAAAACATATGAATTAAACAGAAATTACAAAATAAATAATACAAATTTAGACTACTGGGTAATACAACGATAAATCATTGGTAACCAAAACTTTCCTGTACAAAGTTCGGTTCAAATAATTTGATGAACTTAAATTGAAATTTGTTTTTATTTGTAATTTAAAAATAAATTACAACAATCCGTGCTTTTTCGTTTCAAATTGTTGTGCGTTTTTATGGGGCCAAACAAATCCATATAAATAGGACAATAATATTTGAATACTAAACGAACATAAATAAAATTATTTATCCCTACTCTCAACTTAATTGTAATAACATCATTATGATCAAAATATATATTATTTAAAAAAATTTAATTTATATTGTTTTATATACAAGGTGGTCCATTTAAGTGGGTATACTCATATCTTGGAAAGTATTTACTTTTTTCAATATTTTTTCTTTTTCAAAAATTTAAGAAAAAAACTGCTCTTAAATTTAACATTTACATTGTGTTTTTTCACCTTAATACTTGTGGGTAAATCAACTACCTACTTCTGATTATCAAATGAAAAATTATATTTAAAGTTCTATAATTATATGGAGTATTATTTGAAATAAATGTTAATGTTAAAATGTTTGATTCCCGTCAATGTGTTGATGAGATATTCCACTTTTTAAGTTTATATTGTGGGAAAGTAGTGGCGCCACATGTACAAAAGTGAAATAGTTTGTTACCGATGGAAATCAAAACATACCAAAATTTAAATTAAGAATACTTAACTTAACTCTGTCTATCTACGGAATTTTTATTATAGATTGCCATTTAAAAATTAAATGTAAGTACTCTTACTCTTACTTTTACGCGTTACTTTGTATGCACGTTAATAGTTTATTAAGCAAATTTTTAAGTTTTATTGTAAACACTGCATCCAATATGTTATCATAATTTAATATATTCTACATTATAAAATTAATCTATTGTAAGGTTAGTAAAAATAATAATAATAAAAATCAAAAATAACAACAATTTTATTGAAACTGATATAGTCTCAAAAAATCAATAATAACAATTAATTTAAATTGTGTAATGCATCTTTCAGTCTCATTTTAATTTATGGAATAAGCATTTTTAATGAATGTTGTGTAGGTTTTAACAGGGTCCGCACGTGATGAAAGAAAAAGGTTAAGTGTATCAGAATAATAATATTATGTATACCAAATTGTTTCATTGATAAGGGACGACTATCATCAGTTGTTACCTATAGCCGTAAAAAAGATAAATCTATTTTACCAAAACTGTTTGTTCGCTAAACTAGTAACTAGGTTTTAAAACCACAGTGCCAAAACATGCCTATATTATTATCAATGTATACCGATACCTATGCAGATTGATTAGTATTCAAACAATTGTTAAAACAAAGTCTGAAATAAATATAAACGTATTCTTTTTGATTTTATTTTACACCCAATTTTATAGGCATTAATGAAAAAAAAAAAATATAACTAAGTATGTAATAACTATAGTGGTTATAAATAATAGTGTATATCGAATGATGGAAAATAAATACTTATAACAAATTACATAATTGGTCATGTTATTTATTAGGTTAGATTACAATGGTTATAAAATAATAACAATGTGAATAAAAACAAAATATGTTGGTTGTTATGTGCGTTATCGTAAGTATACATTTTTCTTCAAATGTCGTGAGATTAATACGTTTGTGATAAAACTAAAACTATTAAAATAATACTATTAATAATAGACGAAATATATTAATTCGCATTGTTTCTTCTACACATAATTTCGGTCTTTTTAGATGGCTTCAATACGTACTATAAGTATGAAAAATAAATAAATTAGTAACATATAATGTAGTTAATTATTCTATGTATATGTAGTATGTTTCCAAGTCAATCTAACCAACCTATAACGTTACATAATTTACGCGGTCAAATTTTATAATACCTATTTGATATCTAAACCATTATTTTGTATTTTCAAATTATTATAATGTATATTAACTTAGAATTATATAGAATAGAAAATTATATAATAATAACATACTATTGTAATTGTGCTCATTTATATTAGACTTCAAAGCATTTATTATAACTGATAGGATACGTATAATTCATACGGATTTTATATTTCAGTGGGCATACTAATTATATTCGGTTCCTCGCGAAGATATATATAAATAGACAAATTCTAGTGTTCACAAAGGTACCTTAAGGTAACTGTTTAGTAATTATTAATTGATGTTTTAAATATCTCGAGATTATTAACGATTGAATTTTTTATTCTATAAATCATAATTCTAATTGTATAATGTTTTATTTAAACTTTATACCCGTTGTGAACTTTACAACAATTGTTTTCCCGAAAATTAGGGCATGCTCGTTTTAGATACATACCTAATCGATTAAAAATCGATATAGTTAATGCTCATGTATATGTAAACGACTTACGAATAAAAAAAAAACGTTCAATTATACAATAATAACACAGTTAAATGTATTGTTTTATTTTTAAATAATTGTTTTACTTATCATCTGCTTGTACCTATTTAAATAAGGATCTGTTGAATCATTCTATTAGTTGGATTAGACTAATTATTATTACATCATATAAACTGTCCTCTTGTGTATAATACCATGTTCTTTTCCGTCGTTCATCGAATTCGAAATTAGTTGATGTCTGTTTTTAGGTGTATTATAGAATTATATAAAAAAAAAAAAGAAGGCATTATTTAATTTTTTCGCAAATAACTGTTAAAACATAGAACATACTTTTTTGCAGATCATAATTGACCATGGGCATACTCTTCCACCATTTGTAAATTTCAGTGTCATCTTCTACATTAAACATAAGTAAATAAATTCATTAAAATGATATAATTGGCTATTCAAATACACCGTGTCTGTTGCTTGGACTATAAAAATTGTTGTTTATTTTTAAATGTTAACTTTTTACGACCAATGAAGTTGCGTTTAGTATAATAGTTAAAAAAACAATTGTAATGGTTATAATAGTAATACGACATAGAGATATTTTATATTTTTAGGTTCAATAGTTTTTCTTACTGGAAAATTTGCCGAGATAATTCTGATCTTCTTTGCCCTCTCTTATTAATGATCCAATATGTTCCAAAGTATCTTTTTCTGTATATTATAAAAAATGATTAGCATCATAACATGTAATATTTATGAATATCAATTGTATAAATTATTCAGAGTACTCACGTTGATCAGATAGGACATCCACGTGTAACGTCGGCATATTGCTATACCATTTGAATAATTTTTCGAGGAGCTCTGTGTCGAAAAAATTGTATTGAATGTCCGTAAGTTATAGATATCGGATTTTGGTTAATTATAGGTCATATTAATTTCCATCGATATATAAACAAAATATGATAGTTAATATTACATTTTGGGACCTCATTAAATGATATCGCATAAATTATTTAGATTGTGGGTAGCCGTAAAAAGGCCATCGTTCAATGGGTTACAAAAGTATAATAATGTATAATCAAGTATTATCTTAATATTGACATTAAAAACATCAATTCTGAATTATTTTTGCTAGTTGAAGACTAGTAATGTCTATTCAAATCCAAAGAAAAATCTCAAATGTTGGTAATAATTAATTACCTAGAATTTTAGAAACTTGGGAGATGTAACATACATTTGTCACCTTTAATGTACAAATAAATACACCGATACTCACCGTCATGAGCAGAAACAGTCGTAAAATTGTCCAAAACCTGTNGTTGCATAATGATTACAAAAAACAGAAATTAAATTCACTTAAAATCCTTCCAGATAAATGCTAGTTTATGAAAAAAAAAAATCACTCTGTATAATCAAATTTTTTTTTTTTTATAGAACAAAAATATGTTATTATTTGGTATTTCAGAATGGTCATTTTTTTCTGATTTTTCAAAATGTTGAGTAACAACAATACAGAGTGAAAAAAAAATTTAGAATACAACAATTAAATTAGGAAGAGTTTACTAGGTTTTTTCTTGGTTTCTAAAAGTAACACACAAAAATGTTTTACGCCAATAATAAAAGAATCAAGACTAGTGTCCGAATTTAATTATTTATTCGAATAAATCATTGATTTGTTGAATGATTCAATTACAAAATTGAAATAATTATATAAAATGTATTAGAACGAAGTATTAATTATAATTATAACTATTTCCTAATATTCAAATCATGAAAATATAATTATAGTTATATAATGTGTCATAATGTATATTCGTTAAAATTTCTTACTTCTCGATGAAAGCCTCAAATTTTACTTTGCAATAACAGAACTTTTCCTAGAGAGTAAAAGAATATTATATTTTAAAAGAATGTATAATAGTAAATCGGTTCCGATCTATTCTATTTAAATATTCTAAATATGTTTATATATGTATATAATTGCAGTTTTCTAATAGAATAGACCATATTTTTTTTTGAATAAATTAATTTTTCGTATTCCACACATAATGCTCAATTTTAAAACAATAATATGTTACCTATTATCTGTTGTTTTTTTTTTTAGTACAATAGAAATATTTACTTTACATAGGTATCTTATTAAAAAAAATTAGGTGCCGATCTATATGTGAAATAACTACTATGAATAACATTATGCGCCTAACTGATATTATAGATGAAATTTTATTGTATAAGTCTTTTATTTCTAAATACAATACGCGAATATAATAAAAAGTATTTATAACCATTTGTAATCATGTATAATTAGCAATAATTTTTTTGAATAGTATTTTTTCGTGTTAAACAGGGATACATAATCGTGTTTATATAGCAAAAAACCCCACCTGTGAGCATAACAGTTTCGTCGCTATTGAATTTAATTTTTCTCCTCTTTATTTTGTGTTATTCTGTGTAAAACACTAAATAATAACAAAACTCTTTAGTATACCATAATATATTTACGCATATATAATACAACTTCTATAGAAAAAGAATAATTTTAGTATAAAATGGTAAGGTCGAAGGTTAATAATTGAAACCTCCAATAGGCCTTGACACTAAAGCGATACTTATAAAAAATGTATTTTCTTCCAGCTTCATTAGGAGCGTCTGTAGGGGTTTTTAAATACAAGTAAATCATTCCCGCCACTCGTCCACAACATTCTCAAATTCATATTGATATTAATTCCAATTTTTTTTTTTAAAAACGACTATTAATTAACTCTTACTCCTGAGTTTTCGTTAGAAATATATGTATATACGTGTATATTAATATATACGTATAGACCATATCTATTGTACAGACACATAAAGTCAATTATTAACTTTAAAAATGTTAATGAAATAATACCTAAGTATCAGACACGATACAGCCCAATAGTTTCTAAATCTTTGTAGGAAGTTCATACATTTTGCAATACAATTAGAGCAGAGCAGTATTTTCCAAACTTCATTGCGCGTAACCTAAAATAATCTAACCGATGCTTTCCACTTCAAATTTTGCGTACATTGTTTTGGTCGGTTTTATAAAATTAACAATTTTACTCGAGGTTCTTATCATATTGTGAGTATTAAATGGTAAAAAAAAAAATAACGTTTTTGAATAATTTTTAGAGTTTTATTTTTTAAACATAGGTATGCGTTTTAAGTTCAAAATCTCAAACTTTTGACACAAAAACAAAACCAGAAGGTTTGATATTTATATATTTTAATCGTAAAATTATATATATTGTAGGAATTGTGTACATATTTAAATTTTTGCACTTCCAAGCTTAAGTAAAAAATCCGAATATAACACATATATTCAATGAATACATAAAGTTACAAACTTGATAAGTATCATGATAATGAAATTTATGAGCAATTAAAATGTATGCCACTTTTAATAGGTACTAAGACTTATGTAGATTTTATATTTGCATATCAATGACTAATCGTGTGTTAATCAATTAATTGCATAAATTAAATTTAAACATATTATGTTGGTAATAATTTAATATTAATGGGCAACTGGTTAAATAATTTAATTTCTCTATTTATATAAGTTTCATTGAATTTGATTAATTTAAAATCGTAATTATCTAACCCTTCAATGGGATACAATATACGAAATTCAAAATTTGTTCTTTTTTGTTTTAATTTGTATAAATGCGAATTAATTAAGTAGTTGTTTGATTTAAGGTTCTGAGCAGAGCAAGACATTTATTCATTTTACAATTTTTATTTTTATTATCTGTGAATAACTTTTCTCCCAGCAATGTCGATCAGAATTTCAATTATAGCACTTCTCCAGAAATAATATCTGACTAAGATAGTACTTTAAGGATGTCAGTTTTTGATTTTCTCAGCTGTTTTTTATAACACATGAAAAAAATCGCGAAAAGAAGTACAATATTAAGCAGGTATTATTAAATAATCTATGTACATATATAAAAATATATATATTGCATATGTAATTATTTTACTATAATATGACTCATATATTGTTGCCAAAGCAACGCTATTGACCGAATGCCACTCAGAATCGTTTTTAGTAACCCATGGTTTATCATTGCTTACAGATATACATTGAATTTCCCATATGTAGTTTTAGATTCTGAGTTGAGCGAAAAAGCTTATTATTCTACAAAGATGTTTTTATTGTGGACAACTTTTCAGAAAGAAAATTGGTTGTGAGAGATACTTTAAGGAGGTCATTACTAAATTTTTGGTTTTCTTAACAAATGTGAAAAACCAAAATGTAGGGAAAATGTAAGAAATAAATAAGTAAATATTTACGATTTAAATTGATTGCAGTTTTTTCTAAAAAAAATCTGAACGGGAAGGTACTTTGAAGGGGTAGTTTTTTGATGTTTCCAAAAGTTTTCCTTAGCAAATATAAAAAACTGGGAAAAAATATAGAAAAAACGGGAAATACGGGAAAATCGGTACAATATTAAACAAATATTATGAAAGAAAATATGTAAAGCCTATTTCATTTTTTTACTATAAATAAAATATATATTGTTGACACAGTATTACTATCAACTGAACATCGCTCAGAATCGTTTTATCGTAAGCAATTGTTTATCGTTCCTCACAGGTTTATATTAAATTATCTGTAACAGTGGTTGCATCCGTCTCTATTACGTCCTCCAAGGACGTCTTTATTATGCTTCCTATGTGTTTGTGTACATTATGGTATTTCATTTTACAGCAGAATTGTTTTTCGTAAGTATTTGATATTTTAATATACACATAACTCAAGTTCAATCAAATATTAATAAATCAAAAAAATCGTTTATTTATATGTAATAAAATATATTATAACATTTTAATTGTTATTCAATCTGATTTTTTTTCTTAATCTGTTAGTTATTATGCGATGGTAATCCACCGTGTTCTCGGTCTTTCTTTTTTTACTTTCCCCGTTTTTGATTCATTGTCACCTTCTGTTTTGTCTGAATTTGCTGGTTCCATCTCCTTCGTTTCTTTAAATACAAATATGATTATGTTGTAGTATTTCGAATTATTACGGGAGTTAAATTTTTGCCTATAAAATTAGACAATTGCCAAAACATTGTATAGTATATCACAATGGACTAATAAAGAATTACTGTTGATTTTACCCGTTCACAGTATGAAACGATAATACTTGAAAATAAAAAATAAAAACGTATCTTCCCGTGTTTTCTTGACTAAACCGATATTTCTTTTACTTCATCCGTTTCTTCAAGTCTATCCATGATTGAGTCACTCTTTCATTAAATTTTTGTTAGATATTCTTACCAGAGTAAGTAATGTTTCGGTATTACAGTGAGACCTATTGTTATTATTTTTTATTTTTTTATACTTTGTATATGAATTCTATCAGAAATCTTGCTACGAAGTATCAAGTGTCAAACTTTTTCTATAAAAGAATATTTTGTAGCATAATACTTTAAGGAGGACATTTTTTGATTTTTCCAAGGATTTTTCCCAGTAAATGGGAAAAACGGAAAATTTAGAAATAAAATGCTTTTATACTTTTAAATTATGAAACCATTTTTGAGCTATTTACATTTTAATATAATGACATTAGGTAACATACCTAATTGGTTTTCACATTTTTAAATATTGTTCTTTTAGGACCTCTAATACTAAAATATAACAAAATATACAATATAAAATAATATGAATTTTCTTACCACTGGTTTGTATCATATGTTGGGTTTCCATTTTAGTGTCCTCAATAAATCTCCTATCAGCCTTGTGCACAATTTCCCCACCATCTATACATTAAAATCATATTATATAATATTAAAAATATGATAAATATATTATCAATATAAATTGTAAACTATAAACATATATATTTTCAATTCACTACAAAATATGTCCTTATTCCACGTACTCAAAGGTAGACAGGTACTTTTTTGGTTACTTCCTAAACTCGGATCAAATATGGGACATTTCTTCCACCAATCGCGCAAAACAGCATTCATACCTATGATCACAAAAATGATATAATATAAACTATTATAATACATTTAATTAATATTTTCTTACTGCTCAATTGTTCAATAGGGTGTAGACCTTTTTTACCGTCCTTTATTATTTCTTCGAAACGTGCTAAAATTTTTGTATCTGTACCGAAAATAGTTATATTTATTTATTATAACATTACAATTTTTACACAAGCGGAAATCAGAAACTTAAATCAAGTATCTAACAACGACTCACCTTTTTCATTTAATGCGTATATATCTAACGCTGGCATTTCTCTCCACCAGTTGAGTAAATCAGTCATTTCCTCTATATTGAAAAAATTATGTTAGGTAATTTTTCGTGGAAATTTAATGTTAATTGTGATTTGATATCGCTAATTAAATATAGTTTCGATTTAATAGAATACCATGTAATCCATTTAGGTTGGTACACTTATATCTCGGAAGTTTTTTAGGTTTTTATAAGTTTTTTTCGGAATTTGTTAGAAGTTGTTTGGAGTATAATTTGTGTGGTGGTACGGCACGCAGCGTGTTAATAATGCACCACTACCCAAACTTAAAAGTGGAATATCTCACCAATGGCTCGGCAGAACTAAACAATTTCAATACTAACATTTATTTCAACGTACATACTATATATTTATAAACTGTTTAACATAGGTTGACATTTAAAAATCAAAAGTAGGTAGTCGTTTTACACCCAATAATAGGGGTTACAAAAAATAACAAAACCATAAAATTATAGAGCTGATTGTTTCTTAAATGTTCTAGAAAAATTTAATACATTCCGAGATAATGAGTGTACCCACTTAAATACATCACCTGCAATGTATATAAATCTCATAAAATTGTATTTTATATCAACGCGAATGATGCGTAAAAATAAAATTATAATTACAAGGTTTTAAAATTGTAACTATATCCAGAATACCATTAGACGTTAGATCAGGTAATTTATATTTTTTTTCTAAAATTAAAGCAAGGGTTAAACCCCAATGCTGTTATAAATTAAATGAAATTGCGGACAATAGAGTTTACAATATAAACATAAAACGTACTACAGTATAAACTGTTGTTATGCTGCGTAAAATTGATTATACTAAAATTAATACTTACTGCCGGGATCGGCAGAAATAATTGGAAAACTGGGCAACACCTATGAAAGAGAGTCACTGGTTGATTTTATAACTTTATAATATATATTAATTTATCAAACGGTTTAACTTACAAGTAGCATAAATGAAAATGTAATTATTGGCTTGAGGAAGTTCATGGCGGACATTTTCTAAAATATTGAATTATTCTCATTTATTTAATCATTTCGGTATGTTTTTAATACGTCGAATCTAATCTAATTTACAAAATAACTAAACCTATTACCGTTCTATTTTAGTATTTTACATTATAATATGTGTCATCTCTTGCTTTTACATCAGTGGGAATAATAGTTTCACGTGATATATTACTAATGTCCTAAAAATTGGTATGATTTACTTTATAATTGTGAACTAAACGTTATTTATATTTTCAGCAAAGATTTAAATATGAATATGTTTTTCTTGTATTACAGGTGTGTGTCATGAAATCCTTGTAAGTACAAGAAAATGTTCGATCCTTAGAAATGTATTAACGACAGAGCTATTTTTTTTCCTCGTATTCTTTTTGGTTGTTGGTTTATTATAATTCTTAATTATTTCTATATTGATAATTTTTTTAAATTTCCACCTTCAAATAGAAAATTAAACAAGTATCCGAATTTCATATTTTAATTTTGTTTTATGGAAGTTAAACCGATCATTAATTTTGACTTAAAATTTAAAATTGTACCTCAAAAAATTACTAGTTCAATAATACTATTGTATGGCTGGTAAATTAAAAATAATGCCGGTTGTATATCATTGAACTTTCCGTGTCAGAAACACGTTAATGAGAAAAAGAGAATTGCCCAAAGTTTGTTTAACCAACAATTTCTTCTTATGGTCAGATTTTGAAAATTATCATTCACGATAATATTTGAAGTAATATGTGTGTCTCCTAATTTAATGATTATTAATTTTAAGTTACAACCATAAATATAATTCAATGCGCAGTACCTTACGTAAACAACATTTAAATACATGACGTTAGACAAATTATATAAGTGCAAAACTAATTTACAACAGTACATATTATAAGACATAACCAAAAGATTAGTAGTGCCAGGCTGATATATTGTGGTTATCAGATTTAAAACCGTTAAAGATTCTTACTTCTCGCGAAAAAAGGTTTAAGTTTTATTTTTATAATAATAGTACTTTTGAATTTGTATAACCTAAAAATATCAACACGAAATAATAACGTATACAACTGGTACTATCTTCTGTTTAAATATTCCGAAAAGTCGCGTTTTCGTAATTATTATTAATAATATTGTTTTATAAAAAATTAACAGACAATTTTTTAATTTTTTTTTTTAAATAAATAAATATGTTTGTTGTGTTTTCAACTCATTCGTTTTTAAGAATGTTTTTATGTTTTTACGTTACCTATTTACGATGTATGACATGAAGAACAGTACAAATTAACTATGCTTTAAATACTTCATGAATATGCATTTTTGCTCGTTTTTTATTTAAAAATTTAAAAGTTTTTGTGTTAGTTGCAATTGTTTACTATATGAACCTATTCATAATTGAAATACTAAAATTCGTCAAACCATAATATAATATTATGTCATATTAAATGGGTATCAATAGCTACTTATCATAATACAAAAAGCTATATTTGGATAACGGGGACGGGTGCAGCTACTGTTTTGAATTCGTAAAAATACCATAATTACATAAATAGTGATGTTATGTTATCAAAATTAGGTACAAACTGCATGGATTATCTAAAATAACGGACAAAAATGTGACTATATTATTATCACGATATTCAATAGTTTGTAGTTATACAATATTACAATAACATATATATATATTTAGGTCATACATGTATATTGTATAAAGAGTACAAGTATTTTGATACTATTTCGAGTCATTTGGAGAAAGTGCCAGTGCTGGGCCATATTTTATGACCGCGTGGTCAATATAAATCTAACATGTTTGTTTCCCGTTTGTGGTAGAAACAACTTAATTGCATAAACCAAAAATGCTGTAGCAAAACTTAGCAATATCATACGAGTGTTTTTATACTAATTTGAACTTTGAAGTCAATCGGAAAAAATGCCAATGCCAACTTGACGGACATCCATCTTAATGAAAATACTTCTATTTATCTATTCCCGATCCCCAATTAAGTGGTATGGTCATTTTTACTATTGAATGTTGACGTTTTAGAACAATAAACTATGTGACACCAGATATAGGCAGGGTTGCATAAATCATTTTTAATTTAGATTTTACGAATATTGATAACTGATAATATTGAAATGAAAAAATCGATGTCGATATTCGATTCGAAAATTTAATAAAAAATTCAGAAAGTGAGAAGTTTAAAGTAAAAATATTTACTTAATTTAATTTATACTTAATAAAATATTTGTTTTTGGTTATAATTTGATAATTTATTAAATTAAAATAAAATGATCAGCCAGTTTTTCAAACCTATTCCGAAATCCACAAGAATATCGAACGATGATGATAAAACAATAGATCAACCACAATCGAATATTTTAAAAATAAATTTTACCTCGTTTACAACGAGTTTTCTATTTCATCTTCTAGCTTAAAAGTTAAAAATATTGTGAACAAATTCTATAAAAGAAATAATGTGTACTTACCTAAATAAATTAAAATAATTATAACTGGGTTTGTCCTACATTTCGATCTTGGTCATGATTTAAGATCTAAAACCGTGTCTCAGGTTATTCATTGTTATCACCTCATCATAGCGTAAGTTTGAGATAATGACGAATATTCGTGTACTTGCCGATTATTCGACTATCAAGTATACTCGTTAAATACTCCAGTCGTGGGAATGGTCTACTTGACAATGCGTGTTGATTAATCCTGTTAACTCAGCTATTCACGGTGGATAATCAGCAAATACGTTATGGGAACCAGGCTATAGATGTGGTAGTGATAAATTTCTAACAAAAAAAAATTAAAAATGTATGATATTGATTCACGTTCAAATAAATTTTAATACGATTTAATGATAAATCAATGATATGTCTACATCTTTTTTTTGCAATTGATGACTTAATGGTAGACTTATTGAGAATACTTTCAAAAAATATATGTACACAAATTAAAAATTCCCTTTTTTTAAAGAGCAAAGTATAGACTTTTTGTTTAAGAAGATGTGGTTTTACCTTTCCATGTTAAAATTTCTTTGAAAGCTTCAATTACTGAATCAAAAAACTCTATAAATATTAGTATTGGTTCGTGTCATTTAACCTACCTAGTTGAGCACAAAGTTTTCAGCTTCTTTTTTCCTTGGTTCTAGAATTAATCGTTACAGTATATAATGAACTATCACTAGACGTTTACGTATGGGGACATAGCCATATTGTAAAATAATATTTATCTTGCATTATTTTATAATACACATGCATTAAACAAACACAATCAAGGAAGGAGGTATTACTACACTATTACCACCCCTCCCTATCTATGCCACTGTTCTCGTTTTAGAAGTATCAGGTTTGAAATTTAGAATAGGTTTATCGGCTATTCCTTCTATCGTAGAGTTGAACGATAAATTTCTCGATAGTAATATTATATTAATTTGGAGGTAGATTTTAATCTACCAATCAGAAACTAACGGCAGCGTAGCAATGTATGGGAATGTTAATATGTCTCTAGGATCAAACTTTAATCACACCACTGTTCATAAGTATATACTTTTCTTAGTTAAGTGTAGTATATTGTATAATATGATTCTGTGGCTTGGTGTAAGAACGGTCAATGTGTTGGGAAATGGGCTTTGAAATTTTGTTTCCCCATAAGGTTCTATGTATTTTATTCAATGCAAACTTTTGTGTAATTTTCAATTTGTACAAAAACTTAAATAATTTTTATTTAGAAAATAAAAAATTGTACACTTTTTATTTTTTATTTCTTACTGATTTTTTAAAAAAAAAATGTCGTTGGCTTTTCATACACCAAGCCACAGTATAGGTGCCCAATCAAAATATAAATCATATAAATGTCTGATCTGAAGTTTTTATTACATCAATTATAGTATTATCATTAAAAACTCTATACAATATATTTATACGTTATCAATATTCTAAATCAGTAATAGCGTATCACGTGCATCATCGGTGGTGGTTATGGTGCCGGAAAATCGATCGTACTGGTGGTGGTGGTGCCGAGAAAAACGACGGTACTGGTGGGTCAAAAAGTGGTTCGGGAAAAACTTTGCGCTTATGGGAATACATTTTCGTCGGCCGCCTGTCATAGGGCCTTTCCGGACGTGATAATTCTGGAATATTGTAGTTGGGAAAATTTGCTTCTGATCCAGGTTCAAATCTCGCTTCAGTCCTTCGCATGACAAATTGATTTCCGTGGTCGTCTGTGTGATACACGATTTTTCGCATAACATAATTATTCGGTTCTCCTGCTGAGTTATTAACATCTGGTTTTGATTTTTCTAAACCTTGAAAGCAATAATAAAATAATTAACTAAAACGAATTAGTATTTTTCACAACATTATAAGGGATGTTAAAGTTATTTTTCAAAGGAATTAATTCAAGTTTAGAATCCACGCAAATATGAACTAGCTAAAAGTCTAGTTCATAGTTTTCAAAATAAACTAGTTGAAATTCATCAAATATCCATTTTACCTGGCAGTTTGAGGTCTTGTACCGGCGTATTGTCTGTATTTGATGGCATTTCGCCATTGGATTCTTGAAAAACAGAAAAAAACTAAATAAATATAAATGTGAAATTACTATTTACTATGTAAGGTATATTCTCGATAAGATACTAATTCTTTAGGAGAGTATTAACTTTTCAGAATTTTTCATTTTGGACAATTTTATTTATGAAAAAAAAAACACTTAAGTATTATACCAGGCGATTCATTTAAGTGGGTACACTCATTATCTTGGAAAGTTAAATATTCTTTTTTCTAAAAATGCCTATACGTGCAATCCGCTTAAATTTTAGATATTTTAAGATCATTTATGATATTAATTAGGAATATTTAAAACATTAATAATAACGCATCGGAGCCTAATAAAAATAATAACTTGTTTTTGCTCAAAAGAAAAAAACTATTAAGCTAGTTGATTTTAATATTACTTACTGGATGTTGAATGTTTTATTATTGGAATATCTATTGGACCATTATCCGATTCTCCAGTTTGACCTGTATAATAAAAAATATATCGTGTACAATTTCATAAATATATTTAATAGTTATAGTATTGTTATGTATAATTTGATCATTTTCACTATCGGTCTACTTCCATCCCTATTTTCTTCATAATCGTTGAACGTAAATATATCTAATGTTTATTATTCAATGAAGAAATAGTAATTAAAAACACTCATTATATTAAATGCGTGCAATTTTAGTTATGTTTTTTTAGTTTGTTGTTATACATATACGACTAGTAACATAATATAAATGTTCACAGTATCTGCATTTTTTATTAACCATCAGATTCACGCATTCGAACAATACAGTTTGTGATTTTTAAATGGACATTTCCCATTTTTACCATAATTTTTTCCTTTGAATTTTAGAAGTTAAACTAACTTTCTAAGTATAAAATTCGCTGTTTTATAGACATACAAAATTTTACGATGTCGATAATGAAACACAAGTTGTTTGCGTTTAAGTCCAAATCTTAAAAAAGCAGAACACTAATAATAAAAGAAAAATAATATTAATCGAAATTCCAGAGGTGTATTATCCAAACACAAGGTAAAAAATGATATAAAAAAAAAAAAAAACTATTTAGGGGTTGAACATTGAACGAACTTTTATAATCTAAAAATGAGCAAGTAACGTCAGAAACATCGAGTAACATAATCGCTGAATATTAAAACCTTTTAATTAAAATTATCACATAGTTTAATCATGTTTACAGAAATTACATTTACTTACTATTGGGTTGAGTATTTTTATCTATAACGGTATATGTAAAAGTAACAATAATAATAATACATTAATTTGGTACTGTATACAAGGTGATTTTTTTAATGCAAATTATTATTATTATTTCAGAATGTATTAAATTTATTGAACTTTTATCTTCTGTAAAAGTTCACACTTTCCGAGATGATGAGTTTTATGCATTAAAAAAAAAAAAAAAAAATTACGTGAGTTTTATTATTTATATTCATCTCATAAAAATAATATCTAAAAATAATAATCTCTTAAAAACTAGTTTCAGTTTACCTTTACGTTTTTCGTCTTCGCTCTGATCCAAGTCCATAATCGGTATATCTCTTAACCATTCTTGTAAAATTTCCATTCCCTCTATAATATTATTACAAAAATAGCAACATATCGATTTATTATGAGTTACTTGTACCAAATTTATCATCGTCACCCATTGTAAACATCATTTTTATAAATATATCTTGCATATAAAATGATATTTTTCAAAGCAATATTATAATCGAGTAACCATGAATAAATTGGTCACTTGTACCTAATTTGTATATCATTACTAATATTTTGTAATAATATTTATATACTAAATATTTTGTATAGTATAGCTTACTGGGTGTTATATTTGCTTTTAAAATTCGTGCTCGTGTAACAGGATCCATGCTTGAGCCTGCTCCGTGACCTAAAATAAAAAAAAACATTTTACGGTCGAAATAATGATACATATTAAAGTAGTTTTTTAATTTAAAATTTATTTGACTTTTTATGATAACTTTAACGATGAGAATTCCTTCCACAATAAAAACTGGGCTTCATTGGTTTTTAGAATAATAAAAGGCCATAATTCAATAATGAGCTCTCATATAGTTTAAGATTTTTAAAAACCATATCTGAGGTTTTGTCTCTTGCACAATTTTTTTTTCAAAATTTCATATTATCATTATTATCTCCACGTGTTATAAATTTAGCTATAGACTACAGACATATAATTCACAATGCGTCAATCCACATATATACTTAATTATGTTAGACCCAACATCAATCGTGGTTTTTAACAACTAGGTTTAAAATATTTTGTTCCTATTAGGCAGTTTTTCATTATGTAGTATAATTATTTATACTTCTATTTTTTTTTTATTTTTGCTTTTATGTTCTTCTTTATTCTATGCGATGTATTATATATTAAAATCATTGAATTGTGTGGTGGGCTATAGTAATTTTAGGGTACCTAACCACCTCCCCATCTATTTTCGTCTATACGTATGCACGTACCAGTTGCATGTATCTGATTCAGGCCTGATTGAGGCATTTTACTCCACCAGTCGTAAACCGCAAAAATGCCCACTAAAATAAAAAATATCAAAATTAATTGAATACAATAAGATACTATAGTAAAATAATATTTATTTCAGAATTGAAATATGATATTTTAGAAAAAACCAAAGTAAAACCGAACATTTAATGGTTGAAAAAGGTGTTCTATAGTAAATTTGAAGCTTACAGGGTGTTATGTTTTGCTCTGATAAATATCCTTGATCATCGTGTAACTTCAAATCTTCATTCGATCCTAAATATTTAAACATTGAACATTTACGTTTTACGTTTAATATTTTAAATAATGATAAAGTAAAATATAGCATATATAAATATTTTATGTTTTGGTATACTACTATTATTTTGTCTGGATTTAACTCTAAACATAAAAATATTATATTTAAAACTACATATCAATAATATTAATTGTTTATTTGTAGTTATTATTGAACTATAATCAATTATCTGCTAATTTGTTCTTTTTTTTATTATATTAAGTTAATAATTATAACACTAAAGCTATTCATAAGACATATAATTTAAAATTTACCGTCATATTTGTGGTTTTTAAACTCACTGACATGTGGTCCATTTTTTGCCAAAACTGTATTTAAAAAAAAAATAATTCGAGATGAAGAAAAAAAAAAATACACCACATTGCATTACTAGTATTTTAATTTTATTTACGGTGCCTATTCGTTTTGTACTTATTATAATAATAATTTCTATAATTTTATTTGTTTATACTTTTACTAACTCTAAACGGCAATTAAATACAAAAACGACAGATAAAGCGCAAGAAATAAAAGTATTGCCAGAATTAACTGTCTGTATTATCATTTCGAAGCATGCGGTATAGAGCATGATAATTACTATAATCAGTGGAATTAAAATGAACAAAAATAGTATACGATCGATAGAAGGATAAGAAGAAACGCGGAACTAGACCCTAACTAAAAGTGAAGGAGAATCAAAGGAACCGTCCAGAAAAGAGGAAAGAAACCCAAAATCGTGAGTAGTTCTGCAGACCAACGTCTTTTAAATATCAAGCTTTTGACGAATCTTTGATTAGTCATACAATGGATCGATCATCCGATCAATCTTTAAAATAAAGGTGACATAAAAAAAAAATTTGTTTTGACCCCTAATAGTACATAATTTATTTTTCACATGATAGGGATAACTACCAGATAGGAATGATCAAAAGAAAAATAAGAAAAGTAATAAGAAGTCTTTAAAACAGAAAACACGCCTAATGGGAACATCAAAAAGTTGGTATTGAAAATAGATAGGAAATCGAATTCAAAGACATTTTTCAAAGTTAAGAGACAACCTTAGTAACCGGACGCACGAAGAGAACTTTTGTCTAAAAAATTACAGTTGCACCCCGACTAAATTATTAAAGACTTATTTAAATAAGAAATTAAATCGTGAACAAATATTTTTGTCTTTAAAATTTGAATTTATATTAATTTCCATGCTAGCGTTGACTATGACGAGTTGAATACACAAACATAATATAACAATTATATAATAAACCGGTAACTAATTAATCAATTCAATTTTAATTTATTCATATAGCTGTAATCATAAGTCCTTGCCAATATTAAATTAAATATCTATCGTTGTAACCGCTAACCTAGCCTTTATCTATATTACATTCCCTTAACAAACCATCTATCTCAGTATTCCTTTTCATTCTCCTTCATTCTCTCTTCACTCCTTTTCACATTAAACTCCCATAACCACTTCTCACTATCAACAATATCAAACTTTCACATATCTTATCGCATGTTGTTACTTTGTTACTAAAAATATCTAGAACTGCTTAATCGATTATGATAAAAACTAGCCTATAACTTTTTTCGGTGAAACTTATTCTATTAATAAAAAATAGTATGCAATGTTAGTTCTATATACTTTGTACTGATAAGTAAACTTTTTTCGGTTCTAACAAAGTTTCACTAAATGAACAGTCCACTTTATGTATATTTAATAAAATTGTTTATATACTATAATGAATAGTAGTTTATATTTATATTAGTAAATAATTAAGTGTCTACTGGAATTGCGTCTGAAAGATTAGGTAGAAAAAGGTGTAGAGATCATTGGACTTTCCTTTATGAGCTCCAGTTCTACTATGTGTACAAAATAAAATTTTATACTTAAAAATTATTTATTTATAAAAAAATAACAATTCCTTCTAGCTGAATATCGTATTTCAATTTAGGAGGAATATTTAAGTTTATCTAATATATGATGCTTAGATTCAAAAAGTAATTTATCCCAGTTATCTGTTCTAATTATACCTTTTTGCGATTAGTTCCCTAACCTCATCCGACTGTTCGTTGGCAGTGCTGCATATTTTAGTTAACATTTTGTGTGCACAAATAATAGCAAATAAATCAAATGTATATTATTATAAACAACGGTTATATACTATATAATTGCATTCCAGATTCCTCGTGCCTTTCGGGTTAAGTGGAATATGGTTTAAATACTGTCTTGACTGTATAATATACATAATAATAATGCCTATTTGAAAAAATAAATTTAGTTACACTTTTAATGTTGTAATATTTTTTAAACAATAATTATTACCTAACTGCTCACATAGTACTTACTCGTATAATGTTATATTTAAAATATACTATTATCTCTGTATACTTCTTACTAAAAGCTTAAGAATAGTAAATTACTACACAACCATCATTTACATAATATTGTCTATGCTAATTCCTATACATATATAAATATTCTTATATATTTACATATCTAATAAGTATTATGATAAGTATATAATACGACCGGTTTCAAATTAAAAATTCATCATCGAGTTAATCACAATCAAAATGTAAAACGTGATTGAATATAAAAATTAAATGAAGGAATACATAGACATTTTTTTATGAAAATTGGTCTTTTTACATAGAATATAGAAATAATTTATTTTAATAAGAGAGATTAATTAAAATTGGTTATTATTATACATAGACATGTTAAGAAATATAAACCATTCAGTTATTATTTATTATCTAAAATGTATTGTCTATTGTAAACGTAATTGTATTATATTATTTTTAAAATCGGTTTGTATATTTAAAATATTATTAAAATTATTTGTCTTTAGTTCATTGTGTATATGTAATTCTTTTAAAACTGAATTAATTTAAATGTTTCCTTTTGGTATTTAATATCTATAAGTCTGTATCAATTTCAAAGCTTATACTATAATTATTCTCTAAAACATGTTTAGCAAAATTTGAATTAGGGGCAGTAATTTTTAATTTCATTTCAGAAATTTATTGTTGGTATCTTATTTCAATATTTCTATTTGTCTTACCTACATACAATTTATTACTGTTACACTAAAGGGTTTCTATAAACCAGCATTTTCAAACGAAGGGGGGATTTTTCGTGAAGTTTTTAGTTCTATTGTTTATGTCTTTGATTAAATTACTATTAGTCTAAAAAGCGATTTTTACATTATTTGTATTATTATTCAGAATTTTTGTAAATATATTAGACATATTATTTTAATATTTCATACTACAATTGAACGGACCGGGAGCGCAAAGCGATATTATGCTCACCATCAACACCTAGGTAGTAGGTACAAGGTATGGAGGGACAGCTGGGTGTGTAGTGGTGTAATAGCTCAAACAGCAGTTGTCGAGGTCGCCGGGCGAATGCTGTCGAGCTATGTTATGCTTGTTCTGTAAAAACATATAGGTATTTGTGTATACGAGAACGCGTGTGTACTTATAAAAACGGAAAAAGGTAACTAAATAAAGTTGAAGACGGTAAATTAATTGGTAACTCCGCTGATATGTAATACTAATTTCAGAAGCTAAGCGATGTAAATGATAAATAATTCATAGCAAGAAAATTACAATAATATCGGAATGCACAAATAAATAATTAGGAAAATCGTGGTGATTTGGGAATATATAAAATAGTGAATTATTTGGCGGTTAGCGAAACCTTTAACAATATATCATAAATATCTACTGAAGTAAATACAAAATTAAACCCGCAGTAAGTCGCTGCACTGCTGGCTAGCTGCTACCTGTACCTATTCCTAAATTAAAAACTAATACACAACAGCAATATAAATTCACAATGGCAACAATAATAATAGTAGGTAACAATAGTATTTCGGTTTAATATTAAACAGACGCCTATTCGAGACGCTGGAATACTTCAAGTATATAAGCCATTAGAGCAGCAATGTTAATAAGAGTTTACACACAAAAAAAAACTTTACCTACGGTACCTATGCTCGCGGAACAAACGGTTAAAATAGACTTAAGGTAGTTACAGGTACACCGGTCCGCCGTACTGCGTTAATCTCTTACGAAACTTAAAACTACTAACAATAATTATTGACAAAAACTTAATCTAATTTGTGTGCGTGTGTGTGCGCCAGCTGTCCTTACCGTGACCGTGGATATTTATTTATTTCCGTCTCTAGTTGCGGCGGCAACCACAGTAGTTACCAACACTGTTTGGTGAGTTGTGTATTATTTTTCTTTAATACGTTTAAGTATTTTTAAATAATGTTTAAACTAAAATTATTTCTATAGCCTATATTATAGATAATATTGAGTTCGTGTTAATAATTATGTTTATTTAATGGAATACGTTCAAGCCTATAGGTTATTGAATTTAAAAATGATATTTTTTAAGAATAACAGTGATTATAATCATGTAGTGTTATAGCATCAGTTTGTGTAGGTTTCCTGTAAATACTTTAATCAAATGTATTCTTTATTATGGAAACTGTAAGATCTTAGAAATTTAATTTATTATTAATTTGTATTTTGAATGCAAATTGAATGTTTTTATTTATTTTGTTTAAGTAGTTAACTAAATTTTCTGCTTGTTTATTTGTACCTCTAAACAAAATAAATGCGCATCAACATATCTAATAAAAGTATTGGTTTCATAAATTTGTATATAAATTTCAGATAAAAGGGCAATTGAAGGAACACTCATAATTAACCCTTCTTTTTGTGAATATGATTTATTATTATATTGGAAATAGTTTTGATTGAATAATTTCTTGTAATTTTGTTTGTATTGAATTTATTACTATATATCGGTTTATTTTTTAAAATATTTACTATTTCGTGTTTAGGAATGGATGTATTAATATTTTTGACGTCATGAAAAATCGTTTTGTAACCTGGCTCAATATTAATTTTGCTAACTTTATCAATAAAATCATACGTGTTTTTTTATAGAAATTTCAGTAATCATATAACATTTGTATTTTATGAGAGAGTCTAAATATTTAGCAAGATTAAATATTTAACCAAGCGATCGGGCAACGCATTTATTCACTTTTTATTTTTATGTATATATTTTTTTTATGTATTTATTTACTATATCTATAATAAAAATTATGATATGAGTTTGAAATGATTAATTAGTTTATAGCGTTATTATTCTATTTGATTATGATTTGTAGATGTAACTATTTATATATAATTCATCGTTACTTTGGAAATTTGGCAAGATTTTTTTTCGTTACACATTATCAAAAATTTAGTTTTACTTATATCCAAATACGTATTTATATGCTAGGTAACGCTATATAATGCCTCGCATGTTGGGGTTCTTCTTTATAGATTTATGAGAGTATCAGTATTATATTATCTGCATACTTCAGAATTTCGGATTATTAATTTTTACTCTATTAATAATTACTGATAACACTGTTTATGTCCTATAAAAGTCGCCACTATTATCATATTAAATAATTTGTAATAAATTATCTTAAACATTTTAAAACTGAATTATAAATTATTTATATTTTAAGCATTTTCATGAAAAAATAACTGTAACCCAACTATTTGGGTTACTGTTAATTGGTTTACATTAATTTCTAAGGCGAAAAGTAGGACGCAAAGTCCACAATTCTTATTGACAATCAAATCTGTACCTAATTTTCTTTACATAGATATTTTTGTGATTTTCCCACACCCTTTCATGTGTTGCTTAGTAGTCCTGTACATACTAGTCAGTGGTTTATGTAAAAAAATAGTAGCCAATATATCAAATATATCAATATAAACAAAAGTTGTACACTACCTAATTGCATTTTAGATTCGTCCTCTTGACTTACAGGTTCTTCGACATAATACTGTTTAGATTCATTGTTGGCTATAATATATAAAACAATTATAATACCAATTTTAAACAACAAATTGCATTATATTATTGCTATTATAATATGTCACTGTACATTAATTATTATGTACTTTTAGCCATAGGTACTTATATTAAAATGTTTTTGACTATAGTATTGAGGAATGTTAAGTCCTGCACAACCTCCATTTACACAAACTGAGATACCTACCTATGCTTGTTCCTATGTTTGAGTGAAAAAAGACATATCATATCCAACAAGTGTATAAATGTTAGATAATATATTAGTTTCTCTTCCCTAAAGTACTTTGTATAAGGACATAACATAATGCTAATTCCTGCACGTGTATAATTTATTACTATTCAAATCTTACTAAATTAGTCATATATTTTATTGATTACTTTAATAACAATAATAATTTTAATTTATATACTATATTTTTAGTAAAAATATTATTTCAAAAATTGTTATGCTCTTAACTTTGTTTAAGAACTTCATTCTATTTTCATATTAGTTATTAGAGCAAATATTTATACGCATTAAAAACCAGCGAAATATGCACTAAAAAGGCTTCAATATAATTAATACACTGACATTTTTAAATATGCACAAAAAAAAATATACATAATGCATTTATAAATAATCGCATCATATCATCTAGTTTGAACTGGTAAACTTGAATTTGTTTTATCATTTTATCTTTTACAATAATTATATTATAATTTATAGCAGCATTGAGTTATGTTTCATAATAATTGAATATCGGCTAATGTAATACGCGGATTGCCTGGATTTAAAGAAAAAACCTTTTTGATATTCAATATATGTTTATCAACATTAGTCATTGGACAAATATTTTCTCAATTCCACTGAAATTTTTTGAAAATATTTATAAAACACCTATATACATGCACTAAAAGGTGACAGAATTATATATAGTTTAAATTACAAAATACGTCCATAAAGTTGACCATGTTGAAGTATGCAAATACGTAATGACCTATTACATTCATAAACACACGTTAACTTATTTAGTACGATTAATTTTAAATTGTATGAAAAAGAATTGCAAAAGATAAATATACACGTCTCGTTTTTAAGTATATGTAAGAGCTAACATAATATTATATAATTTTATTCCCGAATAGGAATTATTCACATTGCTATGTCCTTTTGCTACACTTGTCTTAGAACTTATATATGAACCTCATTTTATGCAAATGCAGGTTGTGTAGAAACTTATCCTTATCCGAAACATTAGTGTTGTACTTTCATTAAATTGGAGATTTTATATAAATTGTAATGAATTCATTTAATAAAATTAAGGAAAATACTTGCGTGTTGCTTTTACAACTATATTGCAATTTATAATAGAAATAGTAATTTATAATTTATACAAAAGTTGTTATTTATTACGTACGTGATTGTCTCTGATATCCTTTGGACTGGTCGATTTTTTCGCCTTTACTGTGTATTGGTTTATTTTCGGGTTCATCGGCTGTGTTAAAAATAACAATATCGAATTGAATTAAAATTCCGTTAAATTATTAATGCTAAACAAGTTAATTTATTAAAGAAGAACAATTTATTTTATATACTATTATCTGATTATAGTTTCTGCCTATCAGGAAAAACATAAGAAGAAAAATGTACCACGTTCTATGGGATATTTGAAAACGATCCTAATTATATTATAATAGTTGTTTTTTTTATACACGTTTATACATTGTATAATTTATTGAGTTCAGTAGAAGTGAGACGAAACTAGATAACCAGATTACAACGGAAATGAAGGGTTCGTGTTGGCCAAACGCATTAATTGGTCAATTAGATTATTCTGACTGTAATTAGTAGAGCGTTTAAGAATAGGAAATGGAAAAATAGAACGGTTTGCACCTGAAAGTTTTAAGAGAAAGAAGCAATGGGGAACTGCGATTTTGAAGGAACCTTATGAACTGAAGAATAATTTTATGAACAAATGATATTTTCCTAGTATGATTTATTTTATAATTTATTAAAATTAAGTTCTACATTTATCACCAGTTTTGGTATATTTACTTCAGTGACCAAATAACCAAAAAGTTGCCTAGGATTCTTACTCATTTTGAGTTACCTATAATAATTAATTATTATAATATATATGGAATTTTAGACAATAAGTGTTGTGCCTCCATTAAATTAAATTTGTTTAAACGAAATAAAAAAAAGAAGAAAAATAAATCGTAAACATATGATTTATCTTTTTCTCAGTTTATGACAAAAATAATTTAATTTACCAAACAGTTTTTCAAAAAGTGACTTGGCAGAAATATTCTGAATTTATATCCAGATTTTCTTAGCCCTTAGAATATCATTAAAAAAAAAAAAATTATGATAATAACATTAAAGTTAAAATAGATACCTATCTCTCAGAAAATAATTCAAAATAATTATTCCGGAATTTTTTCCAGGGATTTTCATAATAAATGGTAATTATCGTGAAAAAACGTATAAAAAATAGGACATTTATAAAATGTATTATTTTCAAATCGTAAATACTACAACCTTTTAAAACAAGTACCACCGAACTCCATTTTTCTCTTTAATTTTCGTTAGCAATGATTAATCGTTGCGCACAGATATAAATTTAATTTATCCTCTACCTTCCCAAATGTTCACCTACAACAGTGGCCCACTCATCGTACGAATTATGTCAGTTTGATTTTATTTTTTATTTCATAGTTATTATGTGGATATAATTATTTGACCAAACTAAAATGCTTGTAAAATTAACACAAATTGCATTATGAGTTGCAATTAGTGGTAAAAAAAATATGAAATAAAACTGTCAAAATTACCGCATTTCAAAATATGTATTACTGAACTTCACTCAGAAACGTTTTTCGTTATCAATGGGTTTTCAATTCAAATAGTTGTAAATCAAATAACTTTATGCATTCTACTTTCCTCGCTTCTTACCTACAACAGTAACACAACCATCTCCAGTATTAGCTTTTTATTTTCTTATTGTACTTTCTATCATTACTTACTATCGCAATAACATTAGCTTATGTACGTTTCTTACTAAAATGACAATTAAAAATGTATTCATCACAACACAAATAAATCAACACATAATATTTGTATCATCATCGTAAAATATTACTCACTGATATCACGAATTTCTACTTCCGACGTCACTTCGTGAAATACCTGAAATTGTGAACAATTGTTTGTTCTGATAATGTTTTAAACATGTCAAGTAACAATATACTTACAATTAACAAACATGAAAATAAATACAGCAATGTGAATGTATTCATTGTGGTAGATACCTATTTAAAACCATGAATTGACATTTTTTTAATTGGCTGCAGTATCAGACAATAATATTATGCGACTATAATATTATAATTAAAAACGTGTACTAAGAAACGAGAAAATTAATTGTTGTCGATTTAAAACAAATTAGATACATTATGAACACAGTCTGGAAATAAATATATGCATTGTTGTAAAAAAAAAAAAAAAAAACAATAAAAAAAACTGCCTGCATTTTTCAATTATCTCGTATCGGCTCATCGTGTTTACAATTAATTGAAAAAGTTTACTTCTCGATGAAACCTTTAAACGGTTATATTTATGATACCAGCATAGATAAGTAAGTACCTACTGGCATAACATATTATTTAGATTAAATAAATATTATAATATTTATAATTAAAATGAATACCTATATAATTAAGTATTTTAATATGGTCGCGGTTTTCATTATAATATATTAAAAAGTTTCCAGTTTCATAATTCGGATAAAAGTGAACTTTTTTTAAATATTAAGAGCAGCGATAAACAATTTGAAATAAAAAAATCTTATAACATATATAGGTAGATATTAGGTACAAAAACTGAAAAATCCAAAGAATGTCTCCGATAGTCTATAGGTATATATTATAAAAGTTAAATTATCTACATAAAACGTTTACGGACGAAACTTTTCGAGCATCACTTTTGTATGCCGTTTCAAAGTGATTTACGAGAGTAAAAATATAAAAAAACCGTACACAATTTCAAAATCTCAACAATTCATTTACCCTACTGTGACTCGTGTTTTACGTAGTAAATGAAATCAGAAGAGTGTTTAAAATGTTCAAAATGAATGTATAAATGCAAAATCATTCTATAATATCAAATTAAAAAAAAAATTATTAAAACAAAAATCTTACTTTCTTTGCTTATAATTTTACACATGAACTGGAAATACCTGATAAATTTACACTGTCAGGGGCGAAATTACTGTATTCATAATATACTTAATATTACCTATTTCGAATGTTTCCATTGGGAATATTTCCTTGTTTTTATATAGATATCTATTTAGTATCATATATATTTTTTATGTATACAATTAAAATAATTACCCATTGTTTGTTGAAAGTTTAATTTAAAATGTTTTTAACTATTCATCGGAACAATGCTCATCGCTTCATGTAAGACAGAATAATATTATAATATTGTATTAAATACCACCTGAATACACACACTTGACAACCAAATTTTTGGCAACTATTAATTTTGTCTATTTTGTTTATGGTAGGCAATTTAAAGTAAATTTACTAGAATTCAGAAAAAAAAATAGATAGGTACTAAAATAGAAAAAAAAAATTTACTCTTTAGCTTAACATGCAACTGTTTTACTATATTAACAATGCAAGATGTAATTATTAAATACACGATTTTTAGATAACTTCGTCGATTAAAAAGTTATGAGCGTGAATAATCTTAGCTTAGAGATTCGTAATGTTAGTACCTAATAACAATAATAATAATAATATTATGATACTTAATAAAAAATGTTCTATTTAATTTTCTAAAAAGGTAATTTATTTTTAATCTTTTTAAATTAAGTTTGTATGTTTAGTCTGTTTGGGTAAACGTTGGCGTGATTTTAAATCTTCTTATTAATAAAATGATATCAGAGATTCTAAGTGAAAAAAATAAAATGTATTTTGTATAGATAGATACAAATTTTATTGCTATAAAACATTAAAGAATAATATTCGACATTGTGGCATTGGTGTCGGAATAAATGGCTCATTAAATATATTATTATGGTTATCTGGTTAGTTGTTGATTTACAAATCTGATCACCAAGAAATTGATAATTTATTGTGATATTGAGAATCATTTTATTCTCGAACAATTAAAAATCAACACTTACAAAATATACAAACATGAAAATTCTATCATAATATTTTATAAGAAACATATTATTCTGTGATAAACCCATAATTATTTCAGTACTATTAGTTTTTAGTACTTCTGAGCATATAGCTAAGAATGAATTGGTTTTTCTGTTTATTTTAAACAACTTTTCTTTCAGGATTTTTTTTTTTAATAAAAGTAGATTTTTTCCATCTAGTTGGTGCATTAGGAAGGTCCATATTTTGGTTTTCTTTGTAAATTTTTTTAGTACTGAGGAAAAAAGCGAAAAAATTATGCGATAATGGTTTTTGTTATTTTGTTGTAATTCAGTTATATTTTTAATTTTTCTAGAATTGGTACAATTTTTAAAAACAATCTAGAAATATTAGAGTAAGTTATAGCCAGTTTTAATGTTTAAGTTTTTATTTAAACACAATTTTTTGGTTTCTTACAAGAGTTTTATAATTTGATACAATGTTCATCAAACATTTTTCACATGGCAGTATGTTTAAGAGGATCAATGCATTTTTGAGTATTGGTCGGCAGGCATATTTTACGCTCACGGGATACTTGCTTAACCGCACGTGTCACAAACTCACAACGCACACTTGTATGAAAAACGTTTAGTTTTATTCTGTATCATACACGTTAATAATATATTCTCAACGAGAAGTGTGATTTAAACACCTATAGCTACGCAACACATCCTCTAAATTCATTTATAAAAGACGCACGTGTCTTGCATGTGCAGTGTATCCTACAGTGGCGTATTTTGACGATTTCCCCGAGCGTTGTCTAATTTTCGTGAATCATCTCGGTATCCGTGTTTTAAAGAGCAGTCGACGTTCGTCCTTACATTGTCTATTCTATTCCTACATACTATTAGAAATTGTTTAAACTATATTAAATAAATATTAATAACTAAATTTTAGTGACATTCAGTTTTGATATAAATTAAAGGAGACAATTAATTACCAGGAGATGATGTTAATCACAGGTTTGGCTGTCGATAAGTTTTTAGAGCCTTATCTTCAGTGTTTTGTACAAATGGTGATCGGAGTATTATACTGCGTGGAAGCGAATTTTCACACCTCAATTTTCAAATAATCAAAATTTTTCGGGAGAGTGTTGTTTAAATGTTTAATAGAAGACAAGGTGACAATAAGTACAACTACCAGGTTTAAGGAAATATGGATTAACCAAATACAGCAGCCCGCCTATGGTATCTGCAACTGCCGTATAGGTTTGGAAAGATGTAGGTAGTAAGGGTTTTGGATGAACAAAAAAAAGAGTGCTTCCGCTGGGCGAACCCAGAGAAATGAGAGAAATTCGATGAAAAAGATTTACGCGCCTCGCATTTCTATGCCTTCCATGGTCTCTAACCTTGGCGGCCCCCATATGATCGCCTCAGTGACTACGGTGGATGCCAGTGCACAAACAATGTGCGTTATTAATTGCGAAATAATCTATGGCGTACTTAGGTGGCAACACTGATAGTTTTGTGATGAAACTGGTAAATGTACCTGAAACGTCACTTGGCTTGTTTATTTTATAAATATTAAATATTAATGTATTATAAATTAGTTGTAACGTGTAATTATTCATTGTTCATTATGCTACATTTATTATTTTATTTTTAGTACATTGTGGTAATTCTTAGAACATAATTGCATTTATATTTGTTATGTACAATGTGTCTAACCTACCGATGACTGTAATTATAGATTTTAAATTATAGAAAGCTGAGTGAAATTATAAAATAAGTTACACTGAATTAGTTAAACTTCTGTGTCATGTCATTGTTGTCGGTAAAAACGGTGACAATGGCATATTTAAACGTTTGGTAAAACATAGATAATATTTAACAGCATATTTTGTTGATTAAAAGGATACAAATCTATCCGAAATTTATTTGAATTATTTTAACCCAAATAATTTTTAATAATATTAATAATTGAGTAAAATACTTATGACATAAGTAAGTGTTTTGTAATAACATTGTTATTACATAATAAAAAATAAATATCACAAAATTGGATCATTTATTTATTATAATAAGGGCTTAATTTAAAAAAAACAGAGACCTTGTGCACTACACATTTTCGGTACCGTATTTGAAATAAAAAAGAAATCAGTAGAAATTAAAAACAACATTTTTTTTTATAAATTTAAAAGGTAGATTATAATAAAAATATACAATTCATTAAATTATATTAAACTTATATTTATAAATAACAATTTTACTTTTTAATTTGATTTCTATAAGCATTTTTATGCTTGTAATTTTTTTTTTTGCAAATTCACCAATAAAGTTTTCGAATGATGGATGGCCGGTAACGGTAAAACAATTAATAAGTTTTCTTTTAATTGAAGAAAATCGGATTCAAGTTTTTTTACGTTTAAGAGCAAAGTATAATAGATAAATATAATATAATTCAATTAAATTACTATGAACTTGAGTGCAGCAGTTGTTGTTGTAGGTGGAAAGTTGGGAAGGTAGGATCCAGACGGAATTTTAATGTACATCTGTAAGCAACGATTAACCATTGACTGAATCAACTAATGAAAAAAATGATTCTGAGTGGAGTTCATTTGAAAGTGTTGATTTGTCAAAAATAATATATTATGGTAAAATAATTGCTTATGCATTAAACATTTTCTTTAATAATTGTACCTATTTTTCCGTTCTCCCGGTTTTCCCATGTCTTTTTCCGGTTTTTCCCATTTATTAGGCTTATAGGGTAATAAAAAAATTACCACCTATAAGTACCTCCCCAGTCAAATTTCCTTTCAAAAAAAGTACTACACTTATGAATTGAAATAACATTTTTGGTATAAATGTTGTTCACAAATAAAAAAAAAAAAAATAAAATAAAAACGATAGTAAAACCATAAGCATCTTCACTACACTCAGAATCTTGTCTAATCAGAATTTCGTTAAAATTTTAACATTCTGATACATATAATAATTATTTATTCAACACTTATCAATAATTTATTGATTTATTATTTTTTTAATTAAAATATAAAGTAATCAATAAAATATAAAAGAGTACAATTTTTTTTTATATAGTGGAACAGGGAACGTGGGTGCCTTGTGTTTGTGCACCTTATGCATCTGCGTAAATTAGGGCTTGATCATAATATGAAGTAAGAATATAAATAAAAATAAAATAATATTATTTTAACTGTGAATTATGAAACTTATATATACATTTTTTTTTAAACGCACGAAATGTAGCATAGGAGTTAATACCTAATATTATGCTAAAGCAAAACCATGTTAAATATGAATAAACTGAGATATATATTTATTTGCTTCACGTACAGAGTTTTCAATTCGTCTCAATTCAACTCTATAATAATAAAAAATACAAAAATTAGTTACTATATTGTTATTTCAATAATCTCATAGATTAAACTTATTGATTATTTTGGCTATATAGTCGATAAAACTCAAACATACTTCGCAGATATCTAAAGCGGTAGTTTTGAAGGTGTTCAAATATAAAGAAATAAAAACCAACCGATAAATTGTAATTTGTTATCAGTTTTATTAATTTTCTAAAAAAAACTTTCGGGAATTAGAAAAATGTGTCAAGTAAAATATCACCATGAAAAAAATAAAATATTTTACCGTACTGTATAAAAAAAAATTGAACATTTTTACTAACTAAAAAAGTGAAGTTCATGAAAAATAAAACACTTATCTTAGAAAAATTAGGAAGTATCTCATTTTACTCAAAATCTTAAGTTAGAAATGTATACTTTGTTGTACAATGTTTATATTTAAAATAATTGATACCACTGATAAAGGTGCCACTGTTATAGATGGGATGTTCGGAAGGTATGATACATAAAGTTTTCGTCAAAATTTAAAATTTTAATGTTTAGAAAAACGTTTTTATTATTACAACTTATGAAGAACCTCGAGTAAAATTTTCAAACATTTCTGCTCGGCTAAAGTAAATTTATCCTTATAAATCAGATAAAAACGAAAAATTCGAAAAAATAAAATGCCTACAAATAATTAAACAAATTTCCAAAATATTCTGAATATATTATCACGTCCGAAAATGGCCAATATACGTATTTTGCAAAAATTAGACCTGTACGTTTATTTTCTATTAAATCACATTAAAAAAACAAAACACAGAGCTAATACTGGTGATGGGGACGGCCACTGTTATAGGTGAGAAGTTGGAGAGGTGGGATACATAAGGTTATTTCATTTTTATCTATAAGGAATGATAAACCATTGCTTGACGATTCCAAGCGCAGTTTGGTAATACATACTTTGAAGTACTGTAATTTTTTTTTCGTTTAAATTTGATTTAAAAAAAAACTTTTGTTTTTCTACAAATGTTTTTCTTTTCTTTAGGTGTGCGATCGGCCTTACGTGGGTCGCAAAAAATGTATACCTAAAAAAGTGGGTCGTGAGTCCAAAAAGATTGAAGACCACTGCTATAGAGGCATAATATTTGACGGGATCAAAAAAAAATAGACCGTTATATAGAGGTTACCGTTTTTTAGAGGTGACCAGAAGTTAACAGAAGTATTACTGCATTTATAATAAACGATTAAAAAATAATACCCCTTACCTCTGAATGCCTTGGTTTCCTCATCATTGTCTGCGACTGTGTATAGAATAGTAAAAGAATAATAATGTTAGTTTGTCGTACAATAATATAATAATATAATAGAATTATTTTTTTCGGACACTTTTTAATTTTACCCGAACGTACTTGTTACTTTATTTAGACTGAGATTAAATATGGGGCTTTCCTTCCACCAAACGTACAACTCAGGGTTCCCATCTATATGTTCGAAATATGTTAATTATTTGTTTAATAATAATAATATCATATGTACTAGACAAATTAAGCATTTAGATAAAAGTATGCATTGAACTTTCCACTGTTGATTATTGTGTAAAAGGCAATTATTAGGTTAAATCATTTTTCTTACTGCAGATCTTTTCGATTAATTGTGGGTCTTCTTTACCGTGTTTGATTAATTCCCCAATATGTGGTTCATCGTTTCCATTTGTACCTATTGAAAATAATGATGTTTATTCGCCTCGGAAGTATATTATTTTTTGTCAATTTTTCCCCAAAATTATGACTCAACATTGTATGTTATGTTTGTTATATTGGTATACCTTTATCCTGATGCATTTTAATGATTTAGTGGCTCCTCCAGGATCAAATAAACTAAAACTCGAAAATATGAGTTTTTTTTAAAATTATACCTTTATATATAAGGATTGAAGACATAAATTGTTGATTTCGAGGGCGGTGTTTTTTTCAGATTTTTACACTCTTATAGACTCCTCCAAATAAAACTAGAGATATGAACTGTTGATGCATGTATCACAGGTGTGCTCTTCTTAACTATTTTAAGATTCAAGTTTTATGTTTTCACAGAAAATACTGGTATTTAAACACCCTAAGATGCTCATCAAAGTAATAATGGGGTTAAAATTTGTATTTACAAATAGTTGATTTGTTGAGCATTTCTCTTTAGATAGTTTTAACTGCCAACTCCTGCTCCCACCGTATGTTTTAGCAAAAGTCTCGAAAACTATTTTACAAATTTGAATGAACTTTTTTTTGTATAATACCTTATCGTTACCGGAAGATTATATAATCCTTCTTATTGGAAAGTAAGTAGGGTATTAGACCGTGAAGTAGAAGTTGTGTAGGAGGTAGACGTGGTTAATCGATTTCTAGTAATTATTTATAATAAATAAACACAAATTTAATTTATTTAAGTACATATTACAGGGTATCCTATTGTGTTCAACGAATTTGTCTAGAGCCATTTACATTCAATTTGTTATTCTTTGAAGCATCTATTCAGAGAAAATTGTTATTTTCATCCCTTTTTCACCCTCCTCCCCAAATAACTTAATTATTTGCTTTACAAAATGTTTAAAATTTTCACATCAGACCAATAAATTTTTAGCAACAGCTGTTTTATATGGAAGTCTCGTTTTAAACAGCTTCTCTGTAGAATTGAAAAAATTAAATAATAAGAAAATGTCTTTTATTTATACCCTCCAAAAACGCAGATTGAAAAAAAATTTAAAAATTAAATATTAACAGCTGTAGAAAATCCGTCGAACACGATAGAACATCTCATATAATTTTGTAATAATATACAAAATTATAAACACTAGTGAGCAACCTTTAAGCAGCAGTGCTCCGTCACTAAAATTTAAACCTATTATTTGAAAAAAAATGAAATATTGTACCGGCAACTAATTGAAAATTAATCTCTAGTGATGGAGCATTGATACCTATGGGTGTTTTTTTTTATTTCCTAAAATCGATTTCTTATGAACTTACCAATTTCCATTCTATGATTCAGGTTTAATAACGGAATATTCATCAACCAGTTAAATAAAATAAAAGTTCCCTCTGTTGAAAAAAATAATATTACATGAATTGTTCTCAATTATAATACTTGTCATATTTTCTGTTTTTAAACAAAGAAAGTATGTTAAAATCGATATTTTTTTCAAACGACATTAAACAATGTTTCAAAATTATACAGATGAAAACAACCATACATTCAACGGTTTTCTATGTTTTCGATGTTGGGTACCTGTGCTACTTACCGGGTGTTATATTTTCCCGAGGAAGTCGTTCTCCATAAACACCATTGTTGTCGGTCAATTTTGATTCATCTGTGCATTACAATTTGTAGATAATGTAGATAATTTTTAATTAATGATAAAACGATGTTTTATTGGGATATGACATTTTTGTGCGGATTTTAAATTATGTTTTATTAGTAAATACATTAATTTCACATTACTTATGTATAATTATATTATTATATTGATTTATTTATTTATAAACGAGCATCGATACTCACTATTAGCACTAATACGTGAAACCTGCAAAAAAAAAAAAATGTTTTTTTTTTTTTTATATTTGTAATGATAACAATAATCTAGTAGGTATTATATAATAGTACTCACAAGCAGCATACATGCAAATAAATATATCGGCTTGAAGATAATTGATTGCATTGTATAAATTCTAAAACTGAATAATTTACATTCATATTAATCGTTTCGGCTTAATCGATACTTTTTCCATAATGTAATATTACTAATGATTTATAAATATAACTGCCCACTAGAGTTTGTGTATTAATTTATTTTACCATGAACTATGATAAAATTAAAATGTTTATACACTATAAATTGGTAATAGTTATGTTTTTCAAAGAGAGGGATTATGCTGAAAATAATATGTACAACGTGCTTTGCATTTTATCAATGTATCTATGTTATATTTCATAATATCTCTATAATTGAATACTATATTCCATTTATAATTAACAGTGATGGCGATACGGAGATATTAGTTTCCCTTCCGTCGAACACTTTTTGAAATATAAAATTCCATTTGTTTTTTAACGTAAAGAAATGTTAAAACAGGGAATCAAATACAAGTTATACGAATACAAATACATTTTTAAATTAAAGAATACAATATACTACACTATACTGTATCTATGTCCATACTTATCTATCATGCATTTAAATTAAAATACCGAAAATAACACGTCTAATTACTGTACCCGTGTTAAATTATCTGTATAAAAAATTGTCACAAAATTTGAAGAAAATTAAAATACACAACAATTTTAACTATAACAGATTCTTCGGTTTGCTTTTATTTTAAAAATTATATCTACATATCCTACACAATTGTATTTATGTGAAATAAATACGACCGTATAGATATCTATAACGTAATGTGCAGGACCTAATGGAAATTAAAATTTAATAGGCACACTGTATTAACACATTTTAGTACAAATATATAATAAAGAAACAAATACAATTATATAGGTATATTAAAGATAATTATTGTTAATATTCTATGATAACATTGTTAACGAATGTAATAATTCGTTAAAAATACTTACTTTTCGAAGAATGTCAAAAGTTTTATTATCACGATATTATGATTTTTAAAATTTTTGAACTTTTAAGAAGGTGATGGCATAAATATTACCACGAAAAATAGCGTATGTATAATACGGCCCTCATTTAAATACTCTAAATGTGTAGGTTTTTTTCGTTTTCGTGTTTTTATTAACAGAGCAGACCATATTTTATTTTGAATAAATTAATTTAGTGTATTTAAAACGCAATAACTTTAAGAATATCTTATTACCGGTAGTGTTCTGTGTTAGGTAAATTTAATAATATTACCTACTTTACGTGAAAGTTATGGAGAATAGACCGTGCGTATAAATTACTATACCATCTGAATATTATGCGCGTATCAACATGGTTTTTTTTTTTTTTTAATACAAATTTAAATTTCTACGTAAAGTACTCGTAAAATAATACGAGCATATTGTACACTTTTAGTATACATTTTATTTACCAGAGTTGTTTCGAACACAACACATAAATACACACAGTAAATTACTATAACCATACCACGCGTAGTAGTACTATAGTTGTTTACTATCCGGTCCATCATAAAGGTTATATAAAACGTTGATTTTTATAGGTATAAATCATCGCTACGCTTTTTATAATTAACAGTGTTAATTTGTAGGCCACTGGTTTAGGTGGCAAGTTGGGAATATAGGATACTTTGTGTAATTTTTATACTCTACGCAATGATGAATCAATCGTGGTAAACGAAAAATAATTCCGAATGAAATTCGTTTAATCGTGTTAACAACTATTTGAAAAGAAACTTTTCTTGGACGTATCAAGTGGTAAACACACTCATCGTTATTTATTATTTATTTTTATCATTTATGAAAATAAATGTTAACGATTTGGCATATTGAGAGCGGGGAAGAATTTAAGAGGGGGGTAGGGGCCCAAACCCCTCAGACTTATTAAATTATATTATATTTTTAGAGATTAGACATTTGGAAAATAAACTTATATTTGCCTTTTCATGACATCGTAAAACTATAAATGAATTTGAGTCATTATTGAGTTTTTTATAGACAATTTAATTTTGTGAGTAATTTTTATTTGGTAGGCATTTAGTGGATAAAATTATTAAGCCATACATAAATGGTTGAAAATTATACAGAAGATTTATTAATGAACGTAATTTTTTTTTTATAAGAATTTAAAATAAATAAATGTGATAAAAATCGTTTTAATTAAAAATTATGTGGCAAAAATTTAGTTAGATTCTTGTGAATACGAAATGTTTCAAGATTCATTATTAAATCTTTTATTCAATATTCATTTTTCTATAATAATATTATATATTTATTGTTGAAAAAGCAATAATATTAACCGAGCTCCACTCAGTACCATTTTTCGGGTGTTCTATTAAAATGTCCGGGGGTAAAAAAACATAATACCTATAAAATTATTATTTATAATTATAAATATTGAGTTAAATACAATTTTAATACGTAATAATAATATTAATAGGTATAACAATCGTCTTAAAAATAATAAAAACAACAATGATAAAACTGATCAACTGACCAAAACTCAATGTGAACATCGTATAAAAATTAAAACTAAAATAAAAAAGAGCTGATACTGGGGATGGGAATGGCCATTATTTTAGGTGAGAAGTTGGGAAGGTAGGAAACATAAGGTTATTTCATTTATATCTGTAAGTAACAATAAACCATTGCTTGAAGTAAGACGATTCCGAGCGCAGTTCGATAATACATAATTTGGAGTGCCGTAATTTTTTTTTTGCAATTTTCGATTTCAAAGCGTTTATTAAAAAAAAAGAAGTCATCCGGTGATTTTGGAAATTTAATAATGTCTAATTAAGTCCATTATAAGTACTATTACCAAGTTTCAAGTTCTACATGCATTACCGAATTACAGCAAAAAATTTTTTAAAAGCTTAAAAGTGGCTTAAAAGTTTTGATAATGATACCATAGGAATGTAAATTAAAAAATCAACAAAAAAGGTTTCTTTTGATTTTTCGATTAAATCATTTTTCCTGGTAGAAAACGTTGTCCGTGTTTTATAAAATAATGAAATCACGAAATTGTAAGTTTTTTACGATTTTTCCCACTTAAGCGCCCTTATTGAAGTCAAAAAATAAAATCAAAAAAATATAAAATACAATATAGAAAACTTGAGCTTTGAAAGTTGCTGCACGTAAAAATCGGAGTAAGTTTACTAGGAAAAAACGTGTCCACACACTAGAACAAAAATATAACAAAATAAATAAACAGCATTGCAAAACCAATAGACCCCTCGCTACGCTCGGAATCTCAAAAATACATTACATTCAATTTTTTTTATCAGTAAGTATTACTTAAAAACTACTAAGTGCAACTTATAATGAATCTTCTATTGAATTGTCCAGCATTTCTGCTTGTTAAAAAAAAGAATATACACAGATATGCACTATTAAATTGCATAATAAAACTTGCAAAAAGAATATGTCTAAAAATAGCTCAAGTATCGTAAAATCATTTTAATTTTTAGCACATCTAGAAAAAGTAAATATGTATTTATTACCAAAAGGTCAAATCTAAACAAATAGCTTTAACAGAATTTCAACTAAAAAAAGACGGGAATACTTACAGATTTAATTTCTTTTTTCTTATGACTTTTTTTTTTTTTAAAGGCAAATAAATACAAGCTGATAAATAATCGCATACAACACTAGAATAACATGACTGTACGGGAAACGGGTAACCATTGCAATATAATAATAATTATGAATACGCTTCAAACTTGTTATATTTTAACCATAAATGGAACCTCTGTTTTATCATAAGTTAACGTTATTATACAGTAATAAATCGAGATAATATAATTATGCAATTTTTGAATCCTATATGAAATTATAATTTCAGAATTCAGAACTCATAATGATTGTACCATGTATTTATTTTCACTATCGCTTTCAGATAAATATTTAATTATGTTATTTAACAATTTGTTGTAGGTACCTATTTATTTTATTATTATGTATTATTATATTTAAAAATTTAAGTGTAAACAATACAATACTTTTCGTACTCAATAATAATATATGAATTTATTTTATAAAATTAGTTTTCCTATAGTACGTAATAATACCACCGTTATTACATGTACGAACGACTATTATAGGTACGATGTAGGCTACGCATGTAATTTTAAAATGTTGTTTGTATAGGTTCGAAATTAAAATACGGATAAACGTCATCATATAATGACGTCATACGTACGAATATAAATGCAGTACAAAATCATCCAATTATTCGTATATCTAAGTTTCGTATGGTTGTACAAAATATCAAATCATCTTCGTATATGAAAAGATGTGTACGAACGACCGTATTGGACCGTTTCGACAATATTCGTACAGCGTACAAGATAGAACCTCAGGGCGCTGCTGCTTTATTATATGATTTATACATCGGGGTAATTTGTTTTAAAGAATTGTTTGACCACGTTTAACTCTGCTTAGGATTATTTTTCGTTAGCATTGTCGTTCAGTACAGATATTAGATGAATAACTATTTTAAATTATTTTGAATTTTGTAACAATTATGTCTGAACGTTTACACTGTGCCATGTAGGCAACGCGACCATTGGGCAGTTCATTTTAATAAAAGTTGATTCTCTTTCTATCCTACCTACTAAAATTCCCACATACAACAGTAGCACACTAGCTTCCCCATAATCAGTATTAGGTTTCGATTTATTATTATATTGGTTTGTGTCAGGGAATATAATTGTGTAAATTTTATTATCAATGAATAATAAATACCTAAGTTATTTAACAAAAGCAAAACGAAGGGATTTATTTGAATATTCAGTTTGTATAGTTTTATTTTAATCGTCCGATCTAATCTTTAAATAATATTACAATATAACAAAATAAATAACATAGTTTAAAAAGATGTACATATTTCGCATGATGGTTTGGCCACTGCAATCGTAGATCAGAAATTAGGAAGGTAAAACATAGAGGGGAATGTACGTCTGTAAACAAAGATAACACATTGCTAACGAAAAACGGGTTTTGGGTAAAAATGCCTGAGGAAAAAATGTCCGGGATATACACTGTAGGTATAGTTAAATAACTAACGACCAAACTAAAGGATGGAGTCTTAAATTTTCCAAATTATTTTCACATTCCCACCCAAGAAGTTGACTATTAATTGAAAAAATGCGGAGTTGGTTTTACAATTGTTTGTAAATTGTACTTATTAAATATTACAAATATTACATTGTAAAACAAATATTGATTTAGGAAATAAAAATATAGAAGTAACAATAACATAATTTTCTATGCAACTATTTCAGCTTTCCACTGGGGTCAACACTTTTGGATTAGTTATATTATCACAACTTAAAATATATTTATTTGTTTTCTGACTATAATATAATTCTCAATTTAAAGTGTTCTTATATTTTAAACTGTTTTTGTTGATTATTTATGACTATACAGTACATATTTCTAATTAATTGTGTTGACATGCGCTTCGCTTTGTGATATACTTATTGAATAGCGTTTACAGGTTTATTTAATAAATGGCAAAACAAAATCGTCATAGTTATATTTTGAACAATAATTATTTAATTAAAGTGTAATAAAAAAATTGCATACGCATGTTGGAAAGCAAAATATTATTATGTGTAGACAATTTGAAACAATAGACTTACAATATTGAAGTAAGAATTGATTACATTATCTCACGTTTTTTAAATAATAATCGATAACGGTTATGAAAAAACACTTATTATTCTATCTCCAGTAGTATCAGCTGCGGCCATACCCAACGATAACGGTTTTCTGATTAAACCCGGAACTAAATTAAATCTCGATTTAGCTGAAAAATAGTCACATTCTGTTATTTAAATACAAAAAAAAAGGTAAGATTTCGATCGTATAATATATCAGCGTGAAGGGATAACAAATTTAATAATAATATCCTTTTAAAAATGCAATTAAAAAAAAAATAAAATGTTGACCTCGAGATACCGTCTATGGTAATAGACCGTCTATTTTAACCGGTTCGGATCAAAATCCTGACAATCGAAATCCCAACAGTCGAAATCTCGATAGTGAAAATCCCGAATTGGTCAAACAACCGACAATTACATATCATACAATATTGTAGGGGCTGAATAGGCTGTATAGGCAATTTTAAAAGAAGTTAACTTACTAAAATTAATTATTATAGATTTTTGTTTGGATTTTTACAAGGTAAATACATAGTATTTCATTGAAATATTTGTATTTTTTTTTAAATATATTAAATATATACGCTATTTTACTATAACGAGTTATTGGATGTACTGATTTAATTGTATTAATTATACATTTCAAAAAGTGTAACGTACATTTTTTTACAAGTTGATATTATCTAGTAATATTTTACCACATAATGAGGCGATCACCTAAACAATCTCAGGGGATGTCGATATCATACCTGCGATGTGATATTGTCTGTTGAAATTTTAACTTTGTTGGGATTTTAACTGTCGGGATTTTGAACGCCGCCCTATTTTAACAGTTATTATAATACTTTCGAGTGCTATACATTTTTCTGCAATAGATCATATTAACAAACTTGTTTTACTAGCCACATCCAAGTAAAATTTAAAAGACAACATAAATATTTTATACGTACGTGAATTATATTATTATTAAATATTATTTACGGTAGGTAGGTACTCACTGGATGAATTTTCAATTTCATTGTACTTTTCTCTTACATCACTTAACAAATTTCCGAAAAATGTTGAAGCGCCAGTGGCCAAATTAAATCCCATATTTACCAAATCGTTATTTTCCTCCGAATTCATGGACACGTCACGTTCATAAGGATCTACTTCGTGAAAAATATATAGTTTTTTACCATCTTTATAGTTTTCTTAATAACTGAAAAAAACTTAGAAAAGACGGGAAAATATACGCAATAATGTTTTGGCTTATTTTCTTCTTTGGTTCATCAGCATTGGCAAGGTCGTTGTTTGGAAAGTTATTTTTGATGTACTATGTACCTACCTTTTATTATAATTAAGGAAAACAGCCATCAAAAATACAGGAAAATCAGACACGGCAGTTAAAGTTTCATTATTTTCGATTTGTTTTAAATTCTACGTGGAGCGAGGAATGTATTGGTTTAAAAATGATATTTATTTTTTTTTCTGATTAACAATTTTTTCACCAAACATTTTGCTCCGATTTTCAAGTATAGCATATTTTCTAAAAGGAAATTTGACTGGGGTGATATTTTAGGAAGATCAATTTTTGATTTTCCCAGTGGTACACACTCATCGTGCGAAGTATGTCATGTTTTTTTTTATTGCAATTGTTTAAAATAATCATAAAAATCTTAAATTACTACATAGTATTTATATTATTCATTCATAGGCGTAGTAATTTATTAAATATTTTAACTATTTTAAAGCATTCAACATTTTCGAATCTTTTCAGCTTTTATTTGGATTTATGTTTATAGAAATTTTTGTCCAAAACAGAAATGTATTTCAATTTAACATTATAAGTTGTGTGTAGTAGGAAAGAGTAGAGCTAATTATCATAGATCTTTTAAGAATTTTGCTGAAAATCGTAAAATTGACGGCAATTTAATACATGTTTAACCAAAATTTACTCATAATCGTATTTTGTGAGCAATTAGTGCATACATATATAAACTATATAACCTTTAGTGTCATACCTTCCGGCTTCCCTTACATTCGTCAGTAATACCAGATTTTATTTATAGATTCTGAGGGTATAACTATGTACACTGATTTTTAATTTTTTTATTTTGTGTCTGTGTATAACTTTTACCAGAAATCTTCTTGAATCGAAAAATGACAATAAACTTATTTTGTCGATTTTAGGATCTAGTTGGTGCATTTGGAAAGTCATTATTGCAATTTGTCTTAAGTTTTCGTGAAAATTGGGAAAAACAGAAAAACGTAGAAAAACCAGGACTTAAATAAAAAAAAAAAATTAAATTTTTTATCGTTATAAGAAATTCAAACGTTATGAACAATTTAGTGTTTAACGTTATAGGAAGTTTAAACGTTACTCAATTTATGCGTTTAAACATACAAATTATATGTCTATAAATTGTTTCCATTAAACGTTTCAACTTTTTCAATGTTATTCGTCTTTAGCGGTTTAAATGGTTTTCTTTTATAAATTTTAAACAAAATTCAATATGTAGAACTGAATGGTTATTAAATATTCGCATTTATCATAATAAATGCGAATAATTAACTGTGATTAACTGTTAATAATGAAAAACGATTCTGAGCGGAGTTGAGTTGCTCTTTCAACATGTGCATAATTTTTATTTCCTTAAAAATATTTGTTTAATATTGTATTATTATATTGTATTATTATATATTATTTCTCCGTTTTTCCTACGTTTTCCCCCAGGTTTTCCCATGTTTTTTTTCGTTTTTTTCCATTTATCGAAAGAACTCACAAGAAAATCAAAAAATTACCTCCCTAAAGTACCAGCCCAGTCAATTTTCTTTTCTGAAAAAATGCTATAATTAAAAATCAGAGCAAAATCGCTAGTAGAAAAGTAAACACCATTTTAAAACTAATACATTCCGTTTAGAATCTTAAATAACTATTGTAATATGTGATTTTGTGATATAAAAAATTACACAAACGTGTGAATATTTGTCAATTGACGCGTTATAACTGTAGTAGTAACGAGTTGTTTTATTCAATATCTTGATACCAAAACTAAACTTAATACTTAAGAGTGTATACTGTATTGTAAAAAATAAAATTGTTACTAATTTGAAACTTAAAATGACTAATAATATTAACACAAATGTGCATGGAAAGTACAAAGTACCAAATATAGGTAAACCAAACCACATCCGAAGAATTGTGAGTTATTACTGGTCTTAAATAGGGAGATACACTCTCTCTTTTGCTATTCAATATAGCTTTGAAAAAGGTTATAAGAAGTGTACAAAATAATGGATGTGCACTAGAGGTCGGTGCATCGAAAATAGATGTATTAGGGTTTTCCGATGAATTAAACCTAATTGGAAACAGCAAAGAAGCTGTAGTGAATAATACAGTCTCATTAATTAACATAACGAAAATAATTGTCTTATCAGTAAATAAAGAAAAAGCTAGGGTAATGGAAATTATTGGAAAACGACCATGAATTATTTGCCGTTAGGTTAGATTGACTGGAGCGTAGAAATAGTAAGCTGCATACACAAAGTGGAAAAAGCCTGTTATGCGTTACAAACGTTTTTTAAATCCGAATTATTCTCGAGAAGAACAAAGTTACGACTGTGTCTGGCTACAGTTAGACCGGTACTGATATATGGTTTTGGAGGTGTGTACGATAACAGCGCAAATGAAGAAAAGGTTAGGCCTCTTTTGAGAACAAGATTTTGAGAATGATCTACGGTGCAATATGCGATGACAAGTTTGGGTACTAGCGAAGAAGGAAAATCGTCGAAACCCGAAAAACTACAAAAGAGCCAAAGGTAACCAACTTCATAAAGGCACAATAATTGCAATGGTTTGATCACGCTATGCGAAGAAAAGAATTAAATGCTGTGAGGTCTGACATAGATTACCAACCTAGAGGGAGAAGACTGTGGGATAGACCAAGGAAGCGATGGTTCGACGGGATAAGCCAGGACTTAAAATCACTTGACGTAAAAGACTGATAGAACATTATTCAGAATAGGGAAAGATAAAATTAATCTGATGGTGACGGCAAAGACGCTTGTTGAGTCATAAAGTCAAAAAGAAAAAAAAAAAATTTTTCGTTGAGTAAGGATATTAATTGAATAACTATTTTAAATTATTTTGAATTTTGTAATAATTATGCCTGAACGTTTACATTATGTCATGTAGGCAATCCAACTATCGGGCAGTTCATTTTAATAAAAGTTGATTTTCTGTCTATTCTTATCTACCCAACTTCTCACTTATAACAATGGCATACTGACTTACCTCTAATCAGTTTTAGCTTTGGCTTAATTTTTATATATTATTTTGTGTCAAGGAATACTTTTTTGAAAGTTTTAATACCAATGAATATTAAGTTGTCTAAAACAAACTGACGAGATTTATTTGTATATTTAGTTTGTGTAATTTTATTCTACTCCATCAATTTAATCTTAAAATTATATTATAATAAAATAAATAACATCGTTTAAAAAGATGGACATATTTCACACAGCGGTTGGGCCAAGTTAGGGTATAGAGGCAAAATAATTTTTATCTGTACGCAACGATGGCTAACGAAATACGTTTCGGAACAAATTTTCTCTTACATATAAATGTACATTTTCCAGTTTCCGTAAATTTTTTTTCGGTTTTTTCCAATATTATTACTAAACCCGCTTGAAAACTCAAAAACTGACCTTTCTATGCTCGGAATTTAAAATTGCAAATAAAACATTGCAAAAAATCACTGGTTTTGGTACAAACAAATATCCATTAGTATTTATGTATTGATATAAATTTATATTAATTTACTTTTTGATAGTCTCAATGATGACGGGCTCATCATATTTTTTGTGTTTTTAGTATCATCATCTTCAGTGGGTCTATCAATTTTCTCTTCTGTATTAAAAAAATCATAGGTAACATTATTTTAATGTGTACCTACGTTAAAAAAACCATGTCAGGTCATGAAATTTAATATTACACAGTAGATATACATTAATGTATTAATATTATACATTGTATTACAGGACAAATTATTTTATATAATTGACAACTATCTATAATGTTTCGAATAATACATTTGGAATGCTTACCAGTCGTTATATTGGTTATGGTCGACGAATCTAGGTTAACTTTTTTTTCTGAAACCGTCTCTCCGTCTATATAGTTATAAACGTTGCGATTTATTATATTGTAAATAAATATTAATATTATGTAAGTTAACAAAAAAATAATAAATAAGGCTAAGTAAGCATTACATAGCTGAATATTCCCCATTATACGATTTGACGTTTATTGCTGGTATAAAATCAATTATGGGTCTCTTGATGAGGACAAGAAGACTAAATTTTGTAAGTTTTTAATTGCGTTTGAACTGTATGATAACATTGAAAATGTGATGGTGACTGAAATTCATAATTTGTTTTTTAAATTACCGTTGACATCCCCTCCCCTGAAAAAAAATCTGTGGACGTTTGTTAAATTAACCATACCCCCAACATTTGAATGTTCGAACTAATGTGATAATATTGTAGTCTCATACCATCATGACTACTTAGTGACAAAATCTTCCTGGTCAAAGTGATCAAAATAAAACAACTTGAACTAAAATATCTGGTGTTTTCATCAAATCTGTTGTAAACTATACTTCAGAAATGATGTATTTATGTCTAGAATTTTGTCTTCAATATTTAGATAAATTCATTTGCGGTTAATATACAAGAATAACACAAACCATATTATTATATATTCTTACTGGCTAAACATTTGTTATTTTTGTTGTTGAAAAAAAAAATACGAAGCGGAGAATCATTTATTTAAGTACTATATACTTGCTTACCATTCAGAGGAGCACTGAACACTTTTTGAGATAACTATAAACAAATATAATCGATCGTTATTTTTGCGTATTTCTAAATTATTCTAATTTATATTAATAATATGTAATGATTAATGAGTACTTACGAGTAGCATACAATTTAATAAAAAAAATCGTGTAAAATTGATCATGGCAAAAACTAAAAACCAAAACAAAATTTTAATTTATTGACATCCACCTAATATTATGTATTAATGCACCACTAAGAAATACAATTTATAAATTTAAATATCTGTCATTGATTCACTTCAACATTTATCGATAAGATTTATAAGTATAATATACTCATAAAATTATATTATAATTTTAAACCTATTATACGAGTATTTGTGTTCAACATAACACTAGGCAGTTACATTATTATTAACGATTTGACATGATTCTGTAAATCATATTTAAAATTGGTGAGAAGTTTGGAAGGTAGGATTCATAAGGTTATTTAATTTATACTTGTAAGTAACGATAAACCATTGCTTGACGAAAGACGATTCCGAGTGTAGTTCGGTCATACATAATTTAGGGTGCCGTAATTTTTTTGCGATTTTCGTTTAAATTTGATTTCAAAACGTTTATTAAAAAAAAAATAAGTCGTCCGGTGATTTAGGAAACTTAACCACGTCTAGGTAAGTCCAATATAAGTATTATTACCATGTTTCAAATCTTTACGTGTATTTATAACCGAATCACAGCAAAAAACTCCTAAAAATTAAAATTTTTTAAAAGCTTAAAAGTTTTGACAATGATACCGTAGGAATGTAAATTAAAAAATAAACAAAAAAGGTTTCTTTTGATTTTTCGATTAAATCATTTTCCCTTGTAGCAAACGTTGTCCGTGGTTTTATAAAATAATGAAATCATGAAATTTTACGTTTTTTCGATTTTTCCCATTTAAGTGCTTTTATTTAAAAAATGGCATCGAACATCAAAAAAAGGCAAAAGCATAATTCAGTTAACTTAAGTTTTCAGAAAAAGTACTACACTTATACATTGGAGTAAGTTTATTAAGAAAAAATGTGTCCACAGACTAGAACAAGAAAGAAAAAAGAAAAAGAATTAAACAGCATTGTAAAACCAATAGCTCCCTCGCTACGCTCGGAATCTAAAAAAAACATTAAATGTTATTTCAATTAAATTATAATCACATTTAATATTGATCAGATTAATAGTCTTTTTACAGAATATACCCAGGAACAAAAGTTCCGTCGAGTATTTTCGTTTGTTAAATTTTTTAACAGTTTTAAACAATATTCTACCGTTCCACAATTATTATACAGACAATACAAGTATTTATTTTATTGTAATTAAATATAACGCGTATGAAAATAAATTAAAAATTAAAACGTAAACAATACCGTCAAAAATGTCCTAGGTGCCTTGTTTTCAAATCAATCGATGAACGTTTACGGTTAAAAAAAATAATGATAACTGATTGAATTCGATTGAAAAAATGTCAACTTTTGATTGCTTTGTAGTATCACTCATTAATATAAACTATTCTATACAAAATTTATCTATTATAGATATTTAATTATTAATATCGAATTATTGATGTAGAACTTACTTATTAATTTGTTAAATTATAATTACTTATATTAGTTGTTATGATGGCAGGTTTGCACTACAGTTTGGTTTGAAGTATGATGTTTTGAAACAAAAAATAATAATAAAAAAAAAAAAAAAAACAATTAAATACCTACAACAGAATTATAACGTAGTGTAATCCTAAAAATTGTTGTATAGCGAGCAGACCGTGTGTTGTTTAAAAACAAATATTTTTACATGTTACATATAATAATTGTACGCTTTAAAAATTGAATAGGGAGAATTTACATTTAGAAGATATCTTCATATCGCAGTCAAAATATGTGTGACAAATGTTTTGGGTGTTTTGAAATCATTATATCTGTAACTTATGACGTGGTTAAACCGTATGGCATTAAATTGGCAAATGACAATAATTGAATTGTTTTTCAATATGATTTAATTGCACATATTATCCCGAATATAATATTAAAACCAGCGGGTAAATATATTTCCACCTCAACAATTAACCCCCCCCCCTTTTAATGAACTAGTATAAATTTACCCACTAAAGGAAAAATATTTTACGTTTTTTTTCGTGTCTGCGTGGTAAAAACGTCCATGAATAAAATGCACCCAGGGATCAAATAATTTTAAATTATATTTACCTCCTTATATAGGGGGATCTGTTCATAAAAATCTAGCCAAAATATATTTCTAAATACCTATTATAATCCTTGCATATAAATTTACGATAAAATATATTATGGAAATATAGACTTAAAATTGTTAATCAATATTTTACTAAAAAAGTTGAAAGATCTAAAGTGATCGGTTTTTTTTTTTTTAAACTAATAATCGAACAATACTGAACAAATTTTAATTTTTTCTCACAGCAAAATATGACGTGACATTAGCTGATGGCTTCCGGGTTGAAATCAAGGAGGCTCCACAGAGATAGTGCGATACGCTCCCATCACCTTTTGAACGGTACATGAATACCTCACATCGTTATTTTCTCTCATATTGAAGTATTCAATGCCTTGAAATCCCTATGCAATCAACGGCCGTATGAGCCTGTTGAAATCCAAAGCCACTTTTTCTACATGTTATCGGACTCTGGTATGGCCTCTATCTCTCTTATTCACTGAATTCACGAACAACGGAATTTTCCCTTCCATTCGTAAGCCCTGTTCCTTCATTTCCATACATAAATGTGGAATTCGTATCGATATCACCAACTACCGCCCAATTACAATTCTTACTCACTTGTCCAAAATATTTGAAAACCTTGTTCTAAATTCTATTCGCCCTTTTCCCGATCACATACTCACCGATAAATAACATGCATTCCGCTCCGATCGCTCAACAACCACTTGTTGTTATTTTTTTCTTTCATATTTAACTCTTTTGCCATTCGGAGCCAAGTTGATGTTATCTACAACGAATTTTCTAAAACGTTTGATCGCATTGATCACTTTATGCTTATCGAAACTTTGGATCATCTCGGTGTCGGTGATCCTCTTTTCTCCTGGCTACGTTCCTAATTCACTAATAGAACACAGCAGGTCAATATCCTCAACACATCATTTAATGCGTTCTATCCTTCTTAGGGTGTTCTTCAAGGTGACGTACTATCACCTATTCTGTTTTCCCTATTCGTAAACTCTGCCTCTTCCATAATTAAACATTCCAAAGTTTTAACTTTTGTCGACGATATAGAAGCTTTATCGTCGCGTTTCTTCCCTCTCTGACTGTCATCTCCTTCAATTGGATTTGAATCAACTAGTTGCATGAGGTATATCCCTAGGTCTGCATCTCAACGTCTCTAAATGTTCAGTAATGACTTTTTCCCACATTCATACCCTTTTAAAATTTACCTATTTTATAAACAACCAACCAATCGCATCTTCCGGCCTAACCATATTGAACAGTATTAAGAAAATAGAAATTATTATTATTATTATTTACTAATCAAATCACGTAATAAAACGTTTAGAATATAAAGTTAAATTGTTTATTCTGATATTATTTTAATTACTTACATAGGATTAACGGTCTATAATTGTATTATATATAAAAAAATAATTAAAATTTTTTTTTTTAATATTTAATGAAATTTATATTTTAAAATTACAGTTATGTATATTAGAACAATGCAAATATTGTTTATTCATTTTTTATTTTTATTATTTTTTGTTTTGGTTTGACTCCTGTGATCCATGCGATTTATTTGGTCCTTATTTTCCTTCAAATCTTAGTTTTTTGAGTTCCCGAATCCTTTGGCTGTGTTTTTTCTTTCGGGTTTTTTTGGTCTTTATTTTCTTTTGGATCTGTTTTGTCTTGTTCTTTTTTTTCTTTCGGGTTTTTTTGGTCTTTATTTTCTTTTGGATCTGTTTTGTCTTGTTCTTTTTTTTCTTTTTGATCATAATAAAAACAAAACAAAATCAATTATATAAATGTTTAAACTGTAAACCAAATATTAAACATAACAGTATTTGATCGTTTTTATTCGTGAGTGTTTCATATTCTTACTAAACCAACTGAAAACAATAAACTCACTGAAACAGCTAAGCTTTTGCTTTCTTATGTTGTGTAATCTCGGTATGATAGGAATGCGTTTTTGGGGCATAAACTTTAAATGTGTGTATAATACACGAAATTGCTGGTAGAAAAGTTGGCTATAAAAGAGACCGTAACATTTTACTAAGGATAAGTTTTGCTTGCAGCGTCAAAATGTAAAATGTTCGTGCGTTTAGATGCAACGTTCACGCGTTTATTCTGCATGTGTCTATACGCAGTCGTTTTTGGTTTTTCGATAAAACTTTGGTAAAGTAGAAAAATATTTTAGTTAATGAATTATATATGTTAGGGTTATTTTAATGTTTTTACTTCGATAAACTGTATTCCAATCAAATAAATATTTTGTGGTTTACTTCAGAAAAATAAAAGCGATAAAGTTTCTGAACTGATATTAATATTGTTTTATAAAACTGTTGACTTATCCAAAGGGACTGGACTCTTAAGAGTCCAAATTTATGTAAAAAGATTTTCAGTATCATTAATTTAACTATTTTTGACCGCTAAATAATGTACAAGAGGTTCATTTATTCTTACCATCCTTTTTATACACGTAATTAGAAAAGTCTTTTAAATCATTTTTAATAACATTTGCAGCTACAGTACCCACTAAAATGGGTGTTTTTGCGAAATTCGGCAAACTTTTAAGTGGTTTTTCTTTGGCATCTGAAAAAATTCATATAAATAATTCATAAATTGTTTACAAATTTATATAATTTGTGTTGTGTATAAAAATGTAGAAAATTGAATTTAAATTTGATGAATCTATGAAATATTATTGAAATTAACGATATATATCGTTAATTAAGCTGTTCAAATTCAAATTTAATCGCAGAAAAAGTATTGTATATGAAATTGAGGGTATTGTATAGAATTGCTTATCAATCTCATAAAACTTTGCATTAAGTAACCTAACCTTTAGTACCATAGTTGGGCAAAATAGATGTTACAAAACATGGCACAATAAAATATTATGAAAATATATATTATTTTGCTCACTGGGCCCATTGTATTGTTCAAGTCCATCGGTTACTTTACTAATGAATTTACCACCATAATAAAAACCTTGACTAGCAATTATAGTAGCCTTTGCCTTTAGAGGATCTGTTATACCCTCTTGAATGATCTTCGGTGTAACTAATTCAAGTATACCTGGTTCTGTTTAATAGAAATTACAAAGATATCATATTAGATTATTATTTGTACATATTTAATACGTTTTTATTTTAGTAATAATTTATATTCGCCTCGTTACATTTAAGTAAGTTATTATGTATTATGTCTGTTTATTATCTATTTATTAATTATCTAAATAATAGGTATACAGTAAGAATTTTTAAGTATGTTCATCACAATTTTATTTTTAAACTATAGGTAAATTAAAAATATTTGATTTTGGAATTTTTAAGTGTAAAGACGATATTTTTGAAAACATTAATTGTTTACAAAATTTTAGAAATATCCTGTGGCAATACCAATCAAAATTGTAAAATCATATTATTTTTCTGAAAATGTTCGCATATTTTAATCGAAATTTGAACATTACTTAAAAAATTCCTTACTTAATTTATTTTAAATACTAAGGATAGAACCGGTTTTTCAATAACTGCTCGATTCAAAACAAGAAATTTCCTATAAATGATTTCTATGCAAAAGTCGGTATCAAAACTCCTTAAACGGCTATTATCCTTAGTATTTAAAGCACAATATTTCAGAAGTTTTTTGTTCAAATTTTGATTTCAATACATCGAAATTTTCAGAAAAATCATCTGATTGATAACTAGTATTAAATCGTGTATGTTCTCTTTTAAAAAATCAAAGTGTATATAACCACAAGATACTACTTAAACTTTGTGAAAAATTGAATTGATAGCTGCTTTTCTATCTGGACAAATTACATCATACTTACGAAACAGAGTTTTTTTTTTTTTTTGGTGGATTGAAATGGTAAAAGTTGTGTTGGATTTTTATATAAATTTGAAAAATTATTTGCGGAAGATTTTTGTTGGGATTTTAGTTTGTATCAAGGTTTTGTCTGTTGGGGGTTTCAACTTTCAAACCTTACCTTAGTATAACGTTATTATTATTTTACCTATTCAGTTAATTAATTTGTCCAAAACAATATTTTTATTGCATTCAAATAGGTGGCAGACAATTCAACTCCAATGACGGAACTTCTGTTTACGAATTAATTATATAATCTCTTGTATTCAAATAATTTGTATTTATACTCAAACATGGAAATATGTTCAATGTATTCCTAATTGTGTTGTTACATTCAGTTGCTTTTTATTTACTGTTCTATTACGTGATGATAATTTTTAAATTTATTTTATTTGATTTTGAGTATTAACCACTAAAATGACTTTTGGCTATTATAATGGATTTTTTTTTTGTTATTTAAAATACATTATTGACATGAAATGCAAATAAAACATGTATAACTACAATTACGAAGAAACACGATATCATATTTTGTTGTAGATGAAATGTGGTTGCCTACACTAGTACATAGTGTATATAGTACATCATAGTACATAATAAACGACTTTGTTTAAAATTAAAAACCGTAAATATTTCTAGGCGAATATTAATTATAAATTATATTATAGGTACATACTATTAATTCCTTGTTCTCTATCGATTTTTTTAATTCGGTTCCATTTTTGCAATTCTTTTTCCGATTCTGTATTAACAAATTGTATTCCACTTTTTACTGCTTCGTGAATGTTACGGACACCTTTTGTTAATTTATTGCAGAAGGATGGTTTTTCTTATAAAACATAATATTTATTATATGACAAGTATAATGAATAAATACAAACATTTGTTGATAATTTGTAGATCTTCACAAAATTAGATATTTAACACTTTCGGATTTCACAGTTTATGTTGCATTAATATACGTATACCAGTATGGTGAATGGAATCGAAATATTTAACTAGAGTAATTTTTTACTGATTTAGAGTGAAAAAAACCGAAATAAAAAATGTTTTTTAAATCGGAAAATTAAAATATTATTGAACAATAATTACAACTATTTTTATTCTTTTTGGTTGTATTTAAATTATTAGTTATGAGGCAATTCCAGAAGGGATGTTTTATTTTATTCTGAACTTTGTAAGGACTAATGATTAATTATTTTATTGATGGATAGTCGAAGTTGTTCATCCACCTGTTTGAAGACCTACTAGCAGCAACACCAAATGCAATTGATGTTACAAGATTCTGGTTAAAAATAATCTAATCCAAATATTAAAATAATCAATATACCTTAAACTTTGATAACTATGTTACCATATTAATATCTTAGTCCTAATTTTACGTTTTTATTTTTTTAATCTAATTATATTTATATTATTCTTGAACTGTATATCTAATCTATATTATGGTTGCATGTCACAAAATAAATAACTAAATAAAATATTTCAAAATTTTATAATATATTATTATATTAAAGATTCGACGTATACACTTTTTAATCTTAAATAAAATAAAATAAAATAAAATTACTTTGTGGTTGAGTATCAATAGAGTCGGCATATTGCACCAACTAAAACAGATTGTAAATTATTTATAACTAGTGTATAATACTATGGTTAGTATTTAAACATTTTATATTATAATCATACAAATACATACTAGCAAAACAGTAGAAATTAAAAAACAGAATTTTAAAGTCTCGGCCATTTTGATTCCACGAGAAAGTAACTATGTTATGTAACAAAAAAAAAAAAAAAAACAATATTAAAAATAAAATAAATTTGGGTTCATTTTTAAATTTCTGAGAAAAGTGATAAATGTGTTGGTGGTTTACAATGATGTGTGCCTTTTTTGTTTGCGTGTGAGCAACTTGTATATCAAATATGTTGCTTCAATCAAAAGATGACACAAGATATTTTTGTTGAATTTTGGTTGCAGATTCTGCATTGAATTGATCATATTTTATTTTTCAAGCCATTTTCATAATAATTTTAAAAATTGATAAAAACGTTAAAATGGTAAAATATTTACTGCCTTAAAATCTCATTACCTATTTTAAATTACCTCTTTTCTCATCAGAAATTTCACGCATTTAGCATGCCGAAATTTAAAATTAATTTTAACCGGAGTAATAATATTATTATAAATAATTTCAATTGGTATATGAATAAATATGATTATAAACAAGTACACAAACACAAAATATGTAATATTTTAATAAAAACGTTCCACAAACTCTTTATAATAAATGATTACGAACTAAAATTTATTTTAACATTCTTGATATAATTAAGAGTAGTTTATTATAATATTTTGGTATATGGTTTTTAAATTCACCAAATTAGGTTCAGTTGTAAATAAACAATTAAAACATTGTCAAATTTTGAATATTTGCGACGTTACAAAATATAATACGAAAAATATTATAACATAGCTTTTAGAGCTGAATATGTTATATCTAGCAGTTTCTACACGGAGTTTGTGGAGTGTATTTGCTGAGATATTGTTATTGGATAGAAATTCTTACTTGAAAATCAACGGATATCAATTCACTCACAATATGAGATGTTGTTAATTTTTTTAAATCCGGTCTTATAATGTATACTCATATAAAGGATAATTTTGAACTATGACACGGAATGAATTTATATAGGTATACATACATACATATAATTTTTTTTTTTTATTAAAAGAAAAAATAATATTTAAAATCTATGCTACAAGGCATAATAAGTAAATTAGAGAAAATAAAAGATAATACAACAATGATTACATGAGGGGGAGGCCATCCAGTGATAGAACCCAACATTATTTTATATATTTTTTTAAATAATTTCCTTTGTTTTAGTCATGACGTGTCAAAATACAAAATTTGTAAAAATCATTATTGTTTCATATGTAATTATAGCAGTGTGATGGTTTAAACTTTAAGTATAATTATTAGGCATGTTATTATTTGCTAACTATGTAACTAGTTTTTTACGCGTACCAACTGTTATTTTCGCAATAACAGATGTTGAATATAAATGCTATGGTTTGAAAAAAAATTTAAATATTTTCGTGTCATTATAGTCGGTTAATAATTCTTAGAGTAGGTACATACTTAAACATGTATTTTTGTACTCTTTTCAATATTGAATTCATTATTCATATTATATTATTACTGACTGACCCGGCAATAATTTGATATTGCTAGATAATAGTGTAAATAATAATAGGTTTCTCGTCTATGACAACCAAAGTATCAATCGTATCACCAAGGTGACCTTTGAATAAACTAAAATATATAAATAAACAATTAGATATTCGTACCAAAAATACCTAAAAAAACCCCAATTTTGTTTCCTTATTAGGAGTTACATTTTCAAAAATATTTTTTTAGAAGATGCTTATGTCATATAGCTATATGTATACTAAATTTTGGGGGTTTGGGTTAATTAGAATATCAATTGTATTCATATTTTATACTCCTAGCATAGCAAATTAGTAATTATTTATATTTATTTATAATTTTAGGTTTAAAATAATACTACCTAAAGACACGAAATTAAAAATATTTCATAAATCTACGTATTTTACATATTTATAAACTATACAAAATTTGTAAATACATATAAATAAATAAATAATAATAAGAAAGTATAATTTAATTTTGAAAATAATTCAAAAACGTTTAAATTGTATTATTTGTCTGACTTGAAATGGGTATTTTATTGAACGTCTAGTAATTTAACTAAATGTCCAGGTGGATAGTAAAATCGCATACAAATTAAATTCTTTAAATACCAGTTATCATTGGAGTGGTGATACGGCGCGCAGCGTGTTAATAATGCACACTACTCTCCTCCAACCTAATATTAAAAGTGTTTCATCTCGTCAACGACTTGACAGAAATAAAAAATGTCAACACTAAAATTTATTTTAACTAATATTCAATCTACTTATGGAATTTTTAATATAGATTGCCATTTGAAAATCAAAAGTAGGTAGTTGTTTTACTCCCAAAAATAACACAAATGTAAATTTGAGGAACAGCTTGTTTCTTAAGTGTTCCTATAAATAAATTCCGAAAAAAGTTAATACTTTCCAAGTTAATGAGTGTACCCATTTAAATGAATTACCAGGATTTTCCTAGGCATTTAGTGAATTGCCTGATTTGACTATATGTCTACGAAATATATATTTATAGACTAGACTTTAACAACGGAATAAATGGTTTATGAATTTGGATACAGAACGATTGAGTATATACAGGTAAACCTTAAATGAAACACTTTTGGTTACACCATATACTCATAGCTAACACGCAATAACACGTTCAGGTATACATTATTACAACGTATGGACATACACATACATACACACACACACACACACACGCGCCTTCAAAATTAAATGTTAATCTTTAATATTATATTGGCACAATAGTTTCAGATTCGAAACAGAACCAGTGATAGTGATCTATTGGTTTAACTATGATGTTTTTTATTATTATTTTTTTCCTGTGATCAACTTTTTAACCAAAAAATTCGCTCCAATCAAAAAAATTAACAAACATTTATTTTTTCACACTTTCAAGAGTAAATAAGTAGTTTTTAATTTTCCAGTCACTTTTAGTATTTACGGATTTATTATTTTAATTTTTTTGATTTATGTTTTCTACCAAAATTGTTGCTTTAATAGAAAAACTACAAGAGATTTTATATTTTAAATTTAGGATCTAATTTGTGAGGAAGAATGTTGTTTATAATTTTCCATGTAGGTTTCATTGATAAATACCTGAATAAAACGTAAAATGAATACTGAGACATTTATTGCGTTATTATATTATTATTTTAAATTTTAACGGTTATGTTTCACATCAGAAATTTTGTTCCAATCAAAAAATGACAATAGTTTTTTGTTTTTGTTGAACTTTGGAAGTATTTGATGCATTAAAGAAGTTGTTTTTTGATTTATCAAGTGGTTTTTACAATAGATTGGAAAAATCGGAAAAAATGACTTATACAATATATATTTCGATTTTTCAAATAATTTTAAAATAACAATTAAAAAAAAAAATTAAATACAGATTTCATACCTTTTCATTGAACGATCCTTGTCGTTCATAATGACGTCCAGGTGGTCTAGGCCTCCTTCACCAGAGACAATATAATTTCAATAAAATGTCTTAAAAAGAGTTATCTATTAATAGATATCTTTGAAATTCTTATTATTTTTAGAACTCTAACCAGAAAATTTTTAAATATCCGCAACTGGTTACGGGCTGCACAGTTTGGTACAATATAATGTTATAGGTATACGGGGTGATCAATCTATCGTAAGAAATCCGCTATTTCGGAATGTGTTTTATGTTTATAATGTTATAAAAATAAAAATCCCATGTCGAATTTATTATTATTTTTTTGTTACTTTTGAAAAATTGAAATGATTTATTTTTGAAATAAATAATACAAAATATATTATGTGAATATTACATGTAAAATATTATATGAACATAATATACTGGGTAATCAATTCTCAATAAGACACCTGTTATCACGGAAACTATAATATTTTTTCGAAATTTGTTCATAAATAGTGAGTTAGTCATATTGAATAATATTCAAAACAACCTTTACATATTTATAATGAGGAGGAGATAAATTTAAAAAAAAAATCCTAAAGGATCTCGCTGTTACCGTACATTTTATTGCGAAAGATGCTATAAACTAATTTTGTGGCGTTTTTAAAATTTTCCTGATGGAAGAAGTATATCTAAAAAGTTCCTGTAGAAGAGAAGCAAAATATTCCCATAGTATCTCTACTTGTCATAAGAGGCGACTAATAGGATATTAAGGTTGACACCGGGTGTAAAATTATGTTAAACAGGATGAGAAGATCTTAACGAGATTTTTAGAGATAAGCAGAGATGGGAATATTTAGGTGAATAAGTGGAGTGTCGGGTGACAACAGGAGCTTGGATAAAAAATTAGTACACAAAGGTAACTTAGGTGTCGCTTCGATATTAGACAAAATAAGAAAACATATACTGAGATTGTTTGAGCATATAACGTGGAGAGAGTAAGTGGTAGTAAAAATTGTATTGAAAATAAGGTGTAGGTGGAGAGAGGAGAACAGAAAGACCGAAAAAGAGTTTAGATTAAATTGAGAGTTATATGATGATGACGAATGTGTTAATCGACGAGGATGATGTGGGGAATCGAGTCAAGTGGAGGTTTAGTATGAGAATGGCCAACCCCAAATAGTTAGTATAAAGGCAAAGGAGCAGAAGACACAAATAATGGAAAAGTAATAATATCTTGACATTTTTACTAGCCATTAGTAGATATTTTTATAAAAGGTCACAGATGGTTTTTCTTCTTGAGCTAACTTGGCATATTTTTAATATCTATAATCATTGTAAATAATAAAATAGTAATATAAAAAAAAAAACTATTCTAAAATTAAAAAAACTGTTATGATTAGATAGTACAATGCAAATTGTATTTATATTAGATTAGCTGTATTAACAGACTTCGCCCAGGTGGCATTTAATTGTAGGGCTAACAAACGGAGAATTGAAAAAGCTTGATGGTAAAAGAGACAAGTGGAGAATACATAGGTAACTACAAAACCAATCTTTAATTTCAATACAAAAAGAAGAAGAACCGTTTTATTAGTCCTCTTTTTATATTATTTAATCAAACGCTATTTCATTTCTCTTAACAGTGATTGTAAACTTAATAACTTCCTAAGTCGATATATTAGAAATTGTAGTAGTTGTACATTCTGGCTGAATTTTGAGGTAAAATTCTTAAGAATTATAATGATGATTCCTAGTAAAATATTATGAGTATAGTTTTGATATTAACATAAATTTATAATTATTTTTATGTTTAAGACAAATTATAAAATGTTTAATATTATTTATTTAATTTATGAAAATAGACAAAATATTGTTGGAATAATTAAAAAAAAAAAAAAAACAATATTATACACGCACGCCGTTTTTCGTATTTTCAGCATGCCCGGTCAGCTGTAATTCTTCTATTAAATGGATATACCCGGTAAATAATTTCGGTTTATGAATGCGATATAACAAGAAAAGTATATCATTATTTTGTTAAAATAGCAATTACCTCAATTAGTACCCACACACAAATTTTTTCACATTATACACTTATCTTTTTACATATTGTAAACGCAGGTCGTATGTGACTATGTGAGTATAAATTATAAACTAGTATAGTCGTCTAGGTCTTGGAGACTGGAGTCATTGGGATACCAACCCGGAAAATTAGGTATTAAAACAGACTGATAGATATATTAAAATTGTTAAACGTTTTCTTGGTAGAATCTTACATTTGTAACAATAATTAGTACCATTGACGGATTTAACATTTTTTATGAAAGGTATTAAGGTTACGGTCTCGTGAAAATACTTTTGGAAATAAAAAATGATACTTTTTTTGATTTGTAGCCGGATGTGTAATACCGAGAATGAAGATGACATTTTACAAAAGTCAAAAATTACGTTTTAATAAAATTGCGAACATTTTGTTTTTTCATCGGTCTTTTAGGTTGAAAACCGTGATAGGCTATCACTGATAGCTATATGGAGAAATGAAAATCTGAAATGTCTGACTAGCAGCGCTCGGAAACTAATGGAACTACGCCGTAACGAGTTGTGACCGGGCATTCGTATACGAATCGTATTACCGATGACTAACATGTTCTTTATAATCGTAATCCTGACTAATAACTGATTAAATATTGTAATAGAATAACTACAATTGGTGATATTCACATTTCA